GGGATGTAGTCCTCGATTCAATACACCGGGACATCCGGAAGCGGCAGGAGTGGTGGAACGATGTAACCAGTCGTTAAAGGGTATGATCCAGAAGTTGGCGCAAGATCATCCTCGGAGTTGGCATCGTATGTTACCATTTGTTTTGTGGGCTCTTCGAGAGAAACCTTCAGCGACCACTCATGTTAGCTCGTTCACCATGTTGTATGGAACATTGCCTAGGGGTCCTTTAATGATTTTAAAAGAATCATGGGTGGGAGAACGCTGCTTGCCACTAAACCTAGGAAAACAACCTGATGTATACCTGAAAGAGTTACGACACAACTTGGAGGTCGCGCATGGTTATGCGGAGGATCATGCTGACAAGGAACAGCAACGGTACGCTCATCACTATAACTTACGTAGAAGATTTCAGTTGGGGGACATGGTCATAGTTCTAGTTCTCTCGATGTGGAGGAACAAATGGTGTAACAAATGGCAAAGGCCTGGTACCATTGTGAGAGTAAAATCCCCACATTCATACATAGTTGAATTAGAAGGACAAAAACACCATGTCCATGTGAATCATATACGGAGGTATAACCAACGGATCGAGGAAGTTGCTCTGAATAATTGTGTCATTCTAAGGAACGATGAAGAGGACATCGGTCATCTACATTCATATGAGCCGGAGAGCACACAGGAGGTGAACATGGTACAAAGACAGATGGAGAGCATAACTCATTTATCAGATGTACAAAAGAAACAAGTGATGGAGATAGTGAAAATCCATGCGAAGATATTCCAACCTCGGGTGGGATTAAATTCAGCCGTACAGCATAGTATCAGAGTGAATGACAAGTTTCGACCGCAACGGTTGCGTGCATACAAAATACTAGAATTACTTAAACCGTAAGTTGAGAAACAATTAAAGATGATGTTGGAGCAGGGTATCATTATTCCGTCAAACAGTGCAATGGCCAGTCCCATTGTTTGCATCATGAAGAAAAATGGCACTGTCCGGTTGGCCGTTGACTACCGATATGTGAATAGACATTCTGAGAGAGATGATTTTCCTACACCTGATGTTCAGGATGTGCTTCAGAAGTTTTTTTTTGAGGTGGTGGAGCAGTCTGGCCTAACGTTTGATATAGAAAAATGTCGTTTTGCACAGGCCAGGATACCATTTTTGGGACACTTGGTGGGATCGGGTACCATTGATATGGATCCACTAAAGTTGCAAAAATTACATCAAATCCGACCCCCAACCACGAAGAAGGAAGTACGAAAATTGATAGGATTTCTGAATTACTTCCACAATTTCATCCCGCATCTAGCCAGAACTTTGGATAACATAACGGAATTGACGAAAGAGAGAGGTAATGGGTATGTAACGTGGACACAAGAGCATCAACGTAGTTTGGATACAGTAATTCATCAGCTGAAAAATGTTGGAGGTTTACATACCATCGATTACACCCAACCGTTTGGTTTAATCACTGACGGTAGTGACTACACGGTGGCATGTTGCAAATTGATAGTCTTGAAAAGAACGCCCCATTGCGTTCGCTAGCAAGAAACTGTCGGATACACAGCGTCGGTGGGCTACCATTGAAAAGGAGGCATATGCCATCTTGTGGGCATTACAGAAGTTCAGAGGATGGATCTGTATGTCGACAATCCATGTATACACAGACCATAATCCTTTAACGTATCAAACGGATGTAGTTCCTAAGAGTTCAAAGTTGATGAGGTGGGGGTTAGCCATGCAAGAATTTGACATACACATCAAATACCGCGCGGGAAACAAGAACGCCGCTGACTTTCTCACCAGGCTTGCGGAGAAGCCGGATAAGGATGGAGAAGTAACAGACACACACAGGAGTGAATATTCTACCCCATAGAATATTCAACTGTTGGGGAGGAGGTATGTCACGGTTCAAGGGTGGATATTGAGCGCCGCATCATTTAATTATATTATTGCTGCGGGGTAGGACGGCGCGTCGTGTAAAAAAAGGCCGGTCTCGTCAGACAGAAAGAAAGTTTATTCTTATTGTAGAAAATTAGTTGGTAGAGTTGGTTATTTTTATTGTAGAAAAATTAGTTGGTAGAGTTGGTTAATTTTATTGTAGAAAATTAGTTGGTAGAGTTGGTTAATTTCATTGTAGAAAATTAGTTGGTAGAGTTGGTTAATTTTTTTTGTAGAAAATTAGTTGGTAGGGTAGAGTTGGTTAATTTTATTGTAGAAAATTGGTTGGTAAAGTTGGTTAATTTTATTGTAGAAAATTGGTTGGTAAAGTTAGTTATTTTTATTGTAGAAAATTAGTTGGTCGAGTTGGTTAATTTCATTGTAGAAAATTAGTTGGTAGAGTTGGCGTTTTTGTTGGTGAGAAATTGGACACGCAAACGTGGTTGGTGAAATAGCTGTTGGTTGGTAAGGTATTATTGGGAGAAGTTTAATTTGTTGGTACGTGGGTGGTAGTTATTCAGTGGTTATACGGGAGAGCTGGAAATACGGTACGGGGTTGTTACGAGCTCAACGACGACAAACGTAAGGTAGCGAACGAAGTAGTTATCTGTTGCGTTGGAGGGTGGCGAACGAAGTAGTTGCCTTTCAACGTAACAACAACGTTAGTCGGTTGGGTAAAGCACAGGTGGTACAATAGTGGTACAGAAGACGGCTGGAACCGAAGGAGTCAACTCCACATAACACCAGTGTTCGAAGGATTCTACATTGTTGTCAAGTGAAGAAGTTGAAACAGTATCCCCTCGTACGTGGTCACAGCACTGGCAGGAACAAGTCTGCACACTAACCTCGAACTTTAACTTTTATTTTGGTTTTCTTTATTGACATTGTATATTTATTTGGTATAGTTTTCAGTTTACAGAATAGAAAATCTTAATAAAAAATAAAATACAATAATATAAGCATCGCGTTTAATGAAATATGGTTAAATGAAAATTTGTGATGATATTCAGCAAGTGACACAAGGACTTCACGAATGTTATTCGTTGTTGACCGCGATCTCTTTTCTCTGCAATCTTTCTAATAGTTGTTATCTTTTCCATTCTTTGTTCCACAAGATGTGACAAAAAAACTTTAATTGCCCCCGTCGGACTGTCTGCAGTAATTTCCTCTTTTTTTTCATAACCGGACTGTTTTAATACATCTTCATTCGAAGTATGAGAGGTCCACTTATTTTTATAATTCTTCAGCCTTAATTTTTTTTCAATTTTTTAGAAATTGTCCAGGACTCAGAGCCGTAAGTTAGCACACAAAAACTGTAACACCCTAAGAGTTTTAATTTTGTTGATATTCTGATTTTACTGTAGGTGAGGATGTTTTTCATTTTAGAATATGCATCTTTTGTCATAGCATTTCTTCTTTTGATACCTGGGGTAATCAGACTTCCGAGATAATTGAAACTGTTGACTTGTTTCACATGTTTACTATTAGTGATTACGAGCAGATCGGGACGGTTTTGCTTTTACTAATAACTATGCACTGTTTTGTTGATGTTAATTTTATAACCATTTTTGTTTTGTTTTGTTTATTTTCTTGAGTTTATTTTCTTAAATACCTATATAAATATAAATAAATATATAAATATATATATGTTTGTTTTTCATATATATATATGTAGTATATTATATATATATATATATATATATATATATATATATATATATGCGACACCATTCCACAGTCAGCTTTGTTGCGCGTTTTATCAGACCTTCTTGAAGCATCTGATAGTGGCAATGTTTCTTTGTTGACACTGCTTGATATGAGTGCCGCATTTGATTGTGTTGATTATGCAGTGCTCATACGTAGGTTGAATTTTGATTATGGTGTATGTGATTTGGTGTTGGTATTTTTTGAGTCATATTTTTATAAACGTACCCATCAAGTATATTATAATAACATTTTGTCAAATATCTGTGTTGGGTCCGCTTCTTTTTATACTGTATACAGCTATTGTTTTTAGATATAATAAAAGAATTTAACTTAAAAAGTTATGCCTATGCTGATGACATTCAGGTGGTTGCTGTCTCGCCTGTATGTGAGTTGAATAATTTATTTGACAAGTTACTAAATTGTTTAAATGCTGTTGATGTGTGGATGGCTCAAAATGGAATAAAAATGAATCAGGATAAAACTCAGATTATACCAATTGGTACCTAGCAACAAACGTCATTGTTGGTGGGCAATGGTTTGATCGCATGAGCCCGGTCCTTCGGGATTTGCATTGGCTGCCTGTTTATAAAAGAATATGGTTTAAAATATGTGTTTTGATGTATAAAAGCTTGAATGGGTTGGCACCACAATATTTTTCTAAGGTTTCTGTACGAATCAACTATTGGTCAGAGGATTGATCTAAGATCAGATGATTGTAATTTATTAGTGCAGCCGATGACAGCATTGAAATTAGGATCATGAAATTTTATGGTTTGTGGAGTAAAGGTGTGGAATAATCTTCCGCTAACTTTGCGTGATCGCAGTTTGTCGTTTTCTCATTTTAAAAGGCAGTTGAAGACATTCATTTTTCAACAATAGGTTTGAAATACGTGGAAAGTGCCTGTGAGAACCTTTTAATGGGCGCTATATAGATCATCTAATAATAAAGACTTTTAAAGACTGCAGTGCCCATACCACACAACGTACATACATATTTTGTATGCACGCGCGAGGCTCTCTACATTATACTCATACACGCATGGCGTATGATAGTCTGAGTTTTGGACAGACAGTATCCGAACAGGCCCATCGCACAGTAACAGCGCAATACATTGCACTTATTGGTAAAATTTAGATTGTACAAATTTTGATTTTTTCCAACTCGATCTAACAGGCATATTACAAGTTTTAAAGTTACTTCAACATCAAAAAATAAACATACGTATAACTTTAACGTTCATATTTTTTCAGTTATTTGAAACCCAGAGAGTGAGACATGGAATGATGACACTAGGACCATCAGGAGCTGGTAAAACATGTTGCATTTATACGCTTATGAGATCAATGACAGATTGTGGACAACCACACAAAGAAATGAGAATGAATCCAAAAGCTATCACCGCTTCTCAAATGTTTGGCAGACTTGACGTAGCTTCTAATGATTGGACGGATGGTGTTTTTTCATCTTTGTGGAGAAAAACATTGAAAGTTAAAAAAAGTATAAAAATTTAGTATTAATTCATTATTTTGTGAAATTCATTCTTTTTTTACTTAATTTTTCTCCAGTACTTTCAGCGTTCCTTTTTTAGTTGATTAGGTGTGGAAATCTTTTAGACGATTTTTTTGCATTTTTACGAATGGTTAAGATGGATATAAAAAAAAGTAAAATTATCTACTGCAAAATCTTCTGGTTAAAAAATTACAGCAATGACTGAAAAGAGAAAAAACGCAATGATTAAAACAGTTAAATTAAAATATTCTAAACTTTTGGTTTTATTTGAATTCAAATATAAATGATAAGATGCATATAGATCTGAGATTCGGAACTTTGCGGATCAGACTAAAACGTCTTTTTTTATTTAAAACAATCTGTGAGTTTTTAATAAATTGTACCAAATTTTTTAAACCACAAAAGAGTTTTGTATCGTATTACTTATAAAATAACTTAAGCCCGATTGATATAAGATTGGGATGAAAGCCTGTGGAATTATTTAGCCCAAAAAATTTAGAATTTACGTGAATGATAACAAAACAAATAATCACCAAAATTACGGAAAAATGTTGTATTGAATTTACAAATGTATGCAGTAATCTAACAAACAAACAAACAAACATACAAGAAACAATTGCAATAATCTAACAAATAAATAAACAAATATTTAAAGAACTTTCCAGACCATTTTAAACGTATAATTTATTATTCAAGAACAAGAAAAACTTGTAAAATATTGTTTGATATTTAATAACAAAAAATCAAAAATACACATGTTATTTTAATATGAAAAAACTCTTTTTCATTTTTATATATCCATGAATTTATTGTTGTATCATCAACATCAGTTTTTGTGTCCTGTTTTGTTTCATCTATGTTTCCATTAACTAGTTCTCTGTTTGCCTAATAAAATCGGTCATAGAATCGTTAAAGTGAAAAAAGCTATATTAAAATATCTGTATAATTCGTTACTACAGTAACGCTGGATATTTGATTTAGGCAGGGGTTGGCAAAGGTTTTGCTGCGAGGGCCGCTTATTAAGGGGTCACAAAAATTTTTTTTTCAAATGTTGAAGTCTGACCCTCTAGGAAGTTTTTGTTTTTAAAGGAACATCACATATTTTTTCAGAGCGATCAAATAAATTTAAGAGGTTAATGTTTGGGTGACCATTTTACCATAATGAAAATGATAATTCAAGTACATTTTGTATAAATAATGTTATTAAATATAGACCAAAAATTACAAACTACAAACAATTTTACATATTTACATATTGACCAATTCAGTCTGATTACATTTCACAAATTCCTTACGGTGTTTTTCGACTACCTGTAACAAAAATTGCCTTTGTACTTCATCTTTAGTTGATTCATTGAATTTTTGAATTAATGATACATCTCTTTCAGCACGATCATTTACGCAATGTAGGTTTTTAATAAAATTAGCTGCAATTCTGTAAGACTATGTGTTTGGCTAATCGATACCAGGCACTCCTAGAAAGATGTCATCGATATCTGCTGTCTGAAAGGAGGAGCATGATATAACCAAGTCAGAAATATTTTGTGAAAGTGATATAATCAGATGAGATCTTATTTATCATTTATCTTATTTATCTTATTTATTTATCATTTATCTTATTTTCTTATTTATCATGGTCTTCAGCAAAATAAATACGAATTCAAAAAACTGCGTGGTGTTGAAGTTCCTATCAAAAAAACTTTTGAACGCAGAGTGGGTATACAAATTTAATGAAATAGGCATCAACGAAAGAGTCGTCCCAAACTATATATATATATATTTATAATTATATATATATATTTATTTATATAATATTTATATATATTTATATACATATTTATTTATGAAAATCACAGCCTGTTCGGCGTTAGTGAACTTCCAATTTAACTTTTCGATTTTTCATTGAATAAACAAAGAACCGTATAAAATAGGCACCGTATAAAAATATTTGATCATCTGGGCACAACCACAACATATCAATTTGAACACCGAAGATGGTATAGGAATACCGAAAAAACTTTTCTATTCTATCAGGCATAAAACAAACAAAAATTTTGGTTTTGAACTAAAGAAACTTGAAAATGATTTACGATCAACCGTTAGAAAAATTGAAAAGTTAAATTGGAAGTTAACTAATGCCGAATATGTTGTGATTTTCATCAATTATTGCATTTCTGACAGTCCTAATCCAATATATATATATATATATATATTTATTTATTTATATATGTTGCTGTTGTAGTTATTCATAACTCTGTTCGATGTTTTCCAACCTGAACAGCTTGTATCTAGATGTCTTGATATTTAATTTAGGTTTTGAACCATTTTCCCTTCATTCAAGGCACGACGCCCCAGTTGCATTACGAGGATGTTGGAGTAATTGCAACTGTTGTTGTTGCTGTTTTTTGTTGTTACAGAACAGCCGACAAAATTGGGCTTAACAAACTTTCTTGTTATCTTTGGAATAAAGCATTTTAAAATTCAGTATAAATATATTTAAAATATGATTGATTGCAAAAAAAATTATCGTAAATAAACTCTTTCAGTTCCACCGAAGTTTCGTCGGCTATTAGGAAAAAAACATGGTTTTGTGGAGTTGATTAACACGTTCAAATTTATATTTGATAATAATTTTGGTAACAATTTTCGTACCTTTGTCTTTTCAAATATTTTCAAAATTATGCAATGTGAATTGGAAATCAATATAATTCAATAAAAACTGAGATACGGCGTACACTTGACAAATATGGTGACATGTTGAATGATATTACATCTATCTATCCGTTTGTTATCAAGCGTGAAATTTGAATTTTTGATAATAATTGTACGTCAGTTCAGCGCAAAACAATCAGACATCTAGAGAACAAGAACCATTTTAAACAAATTTCCCGGCGACTAACACGAAACATAATTAAAAATAATAATACACTTAGAGTAACAGAAACAGACAACTTCAGTTGTTTCACGCAAAAAACATTCTCCTGGCAAAAAAACAAAAACTGTTTTGTCAAAAATTATCTTTGGATCGACATCACAGAGCGACTTGAAAAAAACGGCGAAAATTTCTACCACGTTGCTAATGTGACAAAGTGTTCAGCATCAGATGTTATCAAATATTTGAAAACGATCGACGCCGACATCGTTTCCTGCTAACCGTCTGAACCTCTGAAAATAACTCAATAGAGGCGCTATAAAAATCTACAATACTTTATTTAGACTGCGTCAATGCCAAATACTTTGATATGGTCATCAATGAAGCGTCGTTGCCTGTGCAGCAGATTTTGATCAGAGGGTGGTCATTCAATAGCTACGGCAACACTAATGTCAAATGTTGTTCATTTCATCAACCTACAGCATTAGTGGATGGTGTTTGAAATTTTACCTTTATAACATAAATTGACAGTGCTTTTGAAAAATCTCTTTCTAAACTTCTATATAAATCATCTAACACATTCATAATATATACGTTGATAGTAAAAATAATAATTACATAGGAAATATTATTTTATTAAAATTGACGTCTTAAGTGACAATTTTAAATTTTATTTACATATTTTTTGTTATGCAATTTACAAAATATTAAATAATTAGAGATACATGGTGGCCTAGCACAAAAGAATTCATTTTTTTTATTCCTATATAATAATTATATAATTTATTCCTAGGCCACCTTGTATCTCTAAATAATTAGAGATACATGGTGGCCTAGCACAAAAGAATTCATTTTTTTTTATTCCTCGAATCATTTCTTTTTTTGGTTCGATTGAATAAATAAAGTTTGAGATTCGATATGTCGTAGCTGACCATGCGTACTTTGGAGACTGAGTTTTGGGCATACACTATTTGTGCCAGGCCACGGCGTAATAGCAGTATTTGTACCGACTTAGATAATTTTGGTCTGCTATCAGGGTTTTAATGAATAAAAGTGAATAAAGGCAACCTAACGACGAAACTTATGGCTATTTTATATCTATCAATAAAAAAAACTTTAATATCTGTGAAATTTTGAAAATTTCTATTGCATCAACTAAAGTTTTTTAATTTTCAAATTTTGTTCTTACTATCTTCTTATCGTAGTAATTCGTGCTATAAACTCAAACTCTGTGTTTCATCTTTTTAGAAGGTCCTTTCCAAAAATAGTACCAAGGCAGGCTGTCAACTACTTTCTCGGTACGCTACTGCTAACTTCAAAATGCGAACTTAATTTCATATTCTCGTTCGATAATCTCAATGCTCTCAGTTTAATAATTTGTTTTTAAAAATTTTCACTACGTCTTATATTTTAAGGTGAATCGGTGTGGCTCGTTTTAGATGGTCCTGTTGATGCGATATGGATTGAAAATTTAAATTCTGTTTTAGATGATACAAAAAAACTAACGCTTGCTAACGGGGATCGCATACCAATGGCGGTTAACTGCAAAATAATTTTTGAAGTAATAAATAAATAAAATTTGTTTTTACTTGAAGCCATAAAATAAAATCGTTTTTCATTAGGTTCATAATATTGACAATGCTTCTCCAGCTACTGTATCAAGAAATGGAATGGTTTTTATGAGTTCTTCGTGTTTAGAATGGAGACCAATTTTGCAGGTGAATTTTTTTATTTTTTAAATGTCAATATGATAAAAATTTTGTTCAATGCCATAAAAATATTTTTCTTGGGCACATGAAAAATAATAGTCATTTTATTTGTTATGACAGTTTATGACAAAAGATTTGTAAAAAAGTTTTTCAAATATGAGTTTTTCACATAAAGACATCATTTATAATGTTTGAAAAAAGCTTTTATCAACCAATTTAATCAATCAATCAATCAATTAGCTTATAAAGCGCTATTTCCGCGATGTTCAACAGCGCTTCTCAATGAATTTTGAAAACAGATGGGTCATGAGATCCGCTCTGAACTTCGCAAGTGATGGAGTAGTCAGATAAGTAGGTAGAGAGTTCCAGAGTAAAGGAGAGAGTTCCAGAGAAAAGGAGAGAGTTCCAGAGAAAAAGAGAGAGTTCCAGAGAAAAGAGAAATTATCCGATGAAAACCTTCGTACAAAATTTGGGCCTATTATTTCTAAAAGTTTCAAATGTTGGAGTAATTAAATCCTGAACGATCTACCAAACTAGTCACAAACGACTAAAGCAGCAAATCTAAAAACAACTAATTGAAAATTACAACTGATTGAAAATTTTAGTATAAAATCAAAAGGAAATTATAATGATTATTAAGTTCAAACTTCAAACAGTTAATGATTAAAAAGGTTAGTCGTTTGGGATTCCTAATCAAAGTTATCGACGAAGAATTTTTAATTTAAAAAGGGTTAGTCATCAAAATAAACCAATTGGATGTCTTATAAAAGTCAATTCAGTTATGGTTGTTTTATAATAATTAGCGCGTGTTTTCATTTGTTTATGTCATTAATACATGTGTGTCGTTGATACCTCCAGATAATGAAATAAGAGAGAATAACCATTACTTGCGTTTGCGTACAGATGTTAAATGAAAAAAATTGATAGACTTTTTCGTTTCCAATATCTAATAAAATATTGAAGAAGTTGAATATTTTTTCTAAATTAAAAGAAAATCAGGCTGCGTTTGTAATAGTAAGAAAATCTTTTTTGTTGTCAGACATAGCTATGTCGTTGTTGATTTTAAAAATTTATCATTTTAATTAATGATACATCTTAAAAAAATTGCTAGTAAAGAAATGAGATCTGATCAAATTTTCACTCTAGTCTATTGTTATAACCATCACAAATATATTCACCAGAGGCGCTAGTGTCGCTACAAACGCATACAGTTCGTGGAAGAACTATAACCTTCTGACTGCGAGATATCTGGGACGTTTGAGAAGCGTCAGTAAAACGGGTATATAAAGGCATGTGAGATGTGGAATGGTTGTTATTAAATATTTGTTATTAGAAAGCGATTGATTGTTAGTGTCGAAAGCGATATTTGACTCTGCGTTATATTTTTATTGTATTTGCGATAAACGTTAGTGAATTGTTATTCGGAAAACGATAGTTTCTGAAAGTTAATTAGATAGCTTGTGAACATTAACTTTTATTAGTAAAATTAATTAGCGTTGATTATTGATTAATTAATTAACTTCTGTTTTGTAAAAAAATCAATCTTCGTTTTGCGTCAAGAGACCCGGTTTCCCGAGGCAGGACGTTGTTTTTTTTGCCATCAACTTTTTGCGCCAAATTAGACGATCAGTTGTATTCATTTCATTTAAATTTAGAGCTTTCATGTCTTGCTCGATTGTTTGCGACCAGGACTTTTTTTGGACGGCCTTTGGGACGTGTGCCAGGTACTTCAATATCTGCAAGAGAAGTTATGGCACTGTTTCCACTTCGATTGACATGACCAAACCACCGCAGACAATGTTGCCGGCATTCGTCCTTTATATCATCTAAACCAGCACGACGCAGGATTTCGGTAGATTTGATGTGGTCCTTCTTACTAATTCGTTGCATCCATCGGAGCATTTTCGTTGAAGTTGTTCCATTTTGTTTGTCATTGTCCATGTGTCTGCACCATATAACATCAACGCACGTATCACAGATTTAGTGATAAATGAAATAAAAAAAATAACTAAATAAAAAAAAATCGATAATTTGGAAGTTATATTGCCTTAATTTTTTACTGGGATTAAACGAACTCGTCGTCGACCGGGAAAGTTATAACGCTATGTTTATGGCAGTATATTAGATCAGTTTGCAAAGTAACTATAATTGTTCTTCATAATTTCAACGGATGCGAATTTTCAATAGAAAATTAAAGATTTAAAATATTCAGATTTTGTAAAAATCACGGTTTTAAGCATTATTTATGCGAATCTTTGTTTAAGCAAAATTATATTAAAATTTTTACAAAATTTAATGTTAATAATTTTAGTTGAAAATGTTAATTAAATATTTTAATGATAATAATATGAACGAATATACATCAGCTTTTCGATGACTAACCTTAGTCCAGCAGCTTTATTATTTTAAAGTTTGGGTGTTTATCAGAATTACATATTTTTCAAATTACATTTAAACGATTTATCTTTATTTTGTTCATTAATTTTTAAACTGTTCATGATTTACGTTATTTAAATATTTTGAAAAAATGTTTTCAATTAAACGAAATAAAATTTTTTTTATACAAAATTATTTTAAGGGGTGGCTGTTAACACGATCTTCCAGTGAGAGTGAAATATTGTTAGCACTATTTGACAAAATTTATCAGGATATTGTCAATTTTGGATATGGTAATCTAACTAAAAAAATGGACGTTCTCCAATGTATGGAAATAAAACAGGTAGTTAATTTTTTAAAACTTATTGATCGCGAATTTCAAAACAGAGTATTCAGCAATTCAGCAATAGCGATTTGGAAACCTGAAATATGATTTTAAATCAAATTTTAATAAAATTGGTCAGAATTTTTTTCGGTCTCAGAAGTATTTTGAATAATTTGGAAGTTGACCTTACGATCATTTTATTTTGACTACAATGCTATACAATACAATACTAGCTGCCGTTCGAGCAAGCATACGTGCAGCCTGGAATAAATGGCATCTCCTTGCCTCTATATTGATGCGGCGTGACATCCCACTACCACTACGATCAAGACTTTATAAATTTGTAATACGTCCGGTGTTGTTATATGGTGCAGAAAGATGGCCAATGACAACCAAACTGGAACAACAATTTTAACGAACCGACATGAAAATGCTCCGATGGATGCAACGAATAAGTCTGAAGGACCACATCAAATATACCGAAATCCTGCGTCGTGCTGGTTTAGATGATATAAAGGACGAATGCCAGCAACACCGTCTGCGGTGGTTTGGTCATGTCAAACGAAGTGGAAACAGTGTCATAACTTCTCTTGCAAATGTTGAGGTACCTGGCATACCTCCCAAAGGCCGTCCAAAGAAGTCCTGGTCGCAAACAATCGAGCAAGACATGAAAGCTCTAAATTTAAATGAAATGAATACAACTGATCGTCTAATTTGGCGCAAAAACAACGTCCTACCTCGGGAAACCGGGTCTCTGGACGCAAAACGAAGATTGATTGATTGATTGATACAATATGTTAGTGTTGTCGTTAGTTAGGCAGTAAGCACTGTTTTTAAATACGGATTATGAGATTTGATTTATTTGAATAGTGACTTTTATATAATGTGTGAATTTTTAACTTTTTTGATTATAGGCAATCGATCTTTTGGAAGGATTGATAGGATCGCAGACGGATCGTTCCACTCATCTAACAACAAACCATCTTCAAAAAATTTTTATTTTCAGCTTAATGTGGAGTTTTGGAAATCTTCTTGAACTTGATGGTAGAGTTAAACTTCAAGAATTTATGTTGAATCATTCTTCCAAGTTAAATTACCCCAAGTTAATGGGCGAAAAAACTATATTTGAATATCTTGTTGATAGTTCAGGTTTGTGATTGCTTACTATATATTCAATTCAGTTCAATTCAATTCAACTTTATTTGAAAACAAAAGTAGAAGACTCCAAGAAAGCTTTTAATAGCTATTTGAATATCCAAAACTTAAAAAAATATAAAATTTAAGTTAACAAAAAAAATAAATTGAATTTAAACTTTAACTCTATTGAGCTGAAATAAAGTGTCAACCACATTTGTAACTGTTAATTTTTTTTATTTCCCGAGATAATTCGGTAACATATCCCATTAATAATTCTGAAAACTGCTTTGCTTTCAAGTAATTCTTGTGATTAACACAACTTGTGATTAACACAACTTTACAGTGAAATCAGCTTTGATTTTATTTGCGCGTGCCGCTTTTGATATAACAGGTAACGTTTGTCTTCAGTTACTGGTTAAAAAAAAGATACTTCGTTGTAAATTGTGTCGTGTTTCTTCGCGTTTAAATTTTTGTATTTAGATATTTGTTACGTTATACATTCGTTATTAAAAGATTGAAAATCTGTGTTGCTCTCTTCACTGCCAATAATAGTAAAACAACCAAACAGTTATAAACCGCTTACATATGTAGATTATAAACATAAAAAGAAAAAATTAAATGCTCCCGCTTTGTTTAACTGCAAAAAATATAATTTTCATTTTTTGCTTAAATTGTAAAAATAATCTGATCCAAGCTATATATTTTTTGAGACAAATTATCAAAATCACTCAATTTTTTAATTGTATTTTTAGCCCGCATTTCGCACCTCAAAAATTTTTTAAATAGGATGAGCAAATGAATATCAAGAATTTTCTACGAAATCTTCTTTAAAAAACAATTAAACTATGTTGATAAGTTCATTTATTTGCTAATTTTTACTAGAATTTGCAGGCAACTAAATTAATTTCTTAATGTCGTATCGCTTTCTATAATAGCACAGTACTCGGCATGACATAAAACTGCATCCACGCTGCCTTGCGTGCTTTTGAGCAAAACCACTTATAACTAGTGGTTGTCGTCAGGATAAGTGTTCGGATGTAAAAACTTTTTCCCAAATTATTCCTATGCCACCACAAAGTAAAACAACGGCCCCTAGTTCCCAGCAGGCCTTAAGTGGTCAAGGGGTGCCAAGAATTCCTGGGAAGTATGCAATAGCAGATGGATGTTGCAGAAAAATTCAGAATGGCCCCTCTATGGTACTTAGACTTGGAACGCTCAATGTTGGATCACTGACTGGCCGCAGCATGGAAATCGCAGAAATGTTCGAGCGTAGAAGGATTGACATCTGCTGCTTTCAGGAGACCCGATAGAAATCGAATGGTGTTTGTCATGTCAACTCAGACAAAGAAAAATATAAACTATTCTGGAATGGTCAAAAGACGGCCAAAAATGATGTTGGAATTTTTGTTAGAGAACCGCTAGCCCAAGAAGTAATAGATATTAAAAGGATTAATTCACGTCTCATGTGGATCAAGCTTCGCATAGAAAAGCAAACAATGATTATTTTTCTGCATACGCACAACAGACAGGCGAATCAGAAGAAATAAAAAAATGACTTCTGGGCTGCGTTTTCTTACACCATCTCAACAATACCAAAATCTAAAACAATCCTGATTGGTGGCGATCTCAATGGCCACGTTGGAGAGAAAACAGATGGTTTTGACAACGTACATGGCGGTTTCGGCTATGGAGAACGGAATGAAAATGGCAAACGCATCCTTGAGTTTGCTGAAAGTTACGGGTTTTGTTTATTAAACACATATTCTAGAAAGAGGTTGGAACATCTCATAACATACAAAAGTGGACTATCAGCCACGCAAATTGATTTCTTCGCTGTCAAGCAACAACACCGAAGGCTATTAAAAATGTCAAAGTTATACCTGGCAAATCATGTGTCGCCCAACATAGACTCTTTGTGGCAGACCTGGTTGTCGAACTGTCAAAACACAAGTCTAAACAAATGCATCGGAGAGTTAAAAGGTGAAGCTGAAAAGCAATATTCATCGAGAAAAATTTCAACAGATTGTCGCAACACAGTTAGACCACCAATCGCAAGCCAGTACAGATTGGAATACATACAAAACCGTTTTGATAAACGCTGAAACTGCAGTTTGTAGGAAAACTGGTACAAAACGTCAGCAAGAACGTGACACTTGGTGGTGGAATGACAGTGTACAAAATGCAATAGATGAAAAAAAAGCTGCTTACAAGCAATGGCAAAAATCAAAGTCTGTTGATGACCATAAAATTTTCCGTGAGAAGAACAACTATGCAATACGTCAAGTCGCACTGACTCGGACAGATTAGTGCAAAGGGTGGCTCACTAAAAGCAAAGGTGAACAAATGAAATCTCTGTATCGTATAGCAAAACAAGCAAAGCGTACGAAAAAAGACATAGCTGGTGCCTCATGTATCAAAAATGACAAAAATGAGATGGTTCTTGAACAAGATGAGATGAAGCTACAGTGGAGAGAATACTTTAACCGTCTGTTAAACGAAACAAATCCTATCATTGTCAACTCCACCCATCAAAGATCCGATTCTAGACATCACTGTAGAGGAACTTTCAGAAGCTCTGAAAGCGTTGAAGAATGGAAAGGCAGCAGGGCCCTCTGGACTCACAAATGACATTATAAAAGCATCTGGTACTGCAGGTAGCCAAACGTTACTACAACTTTGCCGTGAAGTGTGGAGAAATTGCTCAATGCCGACTGAATGGAACTATAGCATGACTGTTCCGCTATACAAAGGCAAAGATGATCCAATGAACTGTTCATCATATCGGGGTATACGTCTGTTAGAATACTCCTGAAAATTGTCGAGAAAATCATTGAGAGAAGATTAACGTCGTGCATCACAATTGGAAATTATCAATTTGGTTTCCTAGAGGAGAAATCAACAATTGATGCAAATCACATCTTTCGGCAACTGCAAGAAGAGCATCACAAAGCATCAGCAACAATCTCACATTTTTGTAGACCTTGAAAAAGCATTTGATCGAGTTCCCTGTGAAGAATTCAGGTGGAGTCTACGTCGACAACTCATTCCAGAATATCTTGTTTGACTTGTGATGGAAATGTATACGAATACTAAGACTCTTGTTAGCACAACGGTTGGAAACATAGATGCATTTGACATCGGCGTTGGAGTTCACCAAGGCTATTTATAACTGTGATGGAAAAAATCTCAAAACCGATATGCACTGGTGACATTTGGAATCTAATATATACTGATGATATCGTTTTAACAGCCACGTCTGAGCAGAATGCAGCACAGATGTTTGAAGATTGGAACATGGATTCAAAGTCAACATCAGCAACACCATGACGAACACTGGTAAACCCATCCAATCCGCAGCTACTGGACGATGGCCCTGTTCAGTTTGTAAAGCTGGTGTAGGTATTAATTCAATCAAGTGTCAGCAGTGTAACCAGGGGTGTCACAAACGTTGTTTAAAAATAAATAATATTTTATCTAAAGTGTCGAATTTTGTTTGTCCTGCTTGCGCCAATTCACAACAAAAAATTCGAAATAGCACTGTTTTTGAAGCCATTAAGGTAGAGAAAGTCACATTGTTTCAATATCTAGAGGATGTTCCAGATTAAACTGGAACTGCTGAAGCTGCCATTCAAGCACGCATACGTGCAGCCTAGAATAAATAGCATTTCCTAGCCTCTATATTGATGCGGCGTGACATCCCACTACCACTACGATCAAGACTTTATAAATCTGTGATAGGTCCGGTCTTGTTATATGGGTCAGAAACATGGCCAATGACAATCAAACTAGAACAACAACTTCAACGAACCGACATGAAAATGCTCCGATGGATTCAACGAATTAGTCTGAAAGACCACATCAAATCTGGTCGTGCTGGTTTAGATGATATAAAGGACGAATGCCGGCAACACCGTCTGTGTTGGTTTGGTCATGTCAAACGAAGTAAAAGCAGTGCCATAACTTTTATTGCAGATGTTGAAGTATCGATCGAGCAAGACATGAATGCTCTAAATTTAAATGAAATAGATACAACTGATCGTCTAATTTGGCGCAAAAAGTTGATGGCAAAGAAAACAACATTCTACCTCGGGAATCTTTGTCTCTGGACGCTAAACGAAGATTGATTGTTTTCTATAATAACAATTTTTGGAGTGAGGACTTCTCTGCTTGTTACATTTGTGCTTGACCTTCTAGTTATTGGTAGTTGATATGAGGCGTGGATCGGACTCAAAAATCTTAGTCTACATGATGCAATCTATTTGATCTTGCATTTTACTCAACAAAATGGCAATATTTGGTTGTGGAAGCTTCTTCACCTGAAATAAAATTAATAAATGTTTGCTTAATTAAGAAATAAGAGGAATCGTTTAAAAAATTATTTTATCACCAAACGCACATTGGAATTATCATGCGATAACCATCCCTTCCGTGCATTGATGAGACTATTTGTTTGAAGCACTTTATGATAAACAATTTTTTTTATTTTATTGGCAGTTGCAAGAATGAGCATATTAGACGGTTAGTCTACACGTTAACAGTAAACATTTAATAGACTATGATAAAAACAACTATTTTCTATTTTAGTCCAAAAACACTGTAGAATTGATCTTGAGAATTGGCGTACAACCAATGAAACTGCGATTTATAAGATTTCGTACATTTTAAGCGTTCTTATATATATATTTATGTTTTTTATGTTCTTATATATATATTTATGTTATTTATGTTTTCTTATAGTATATATTTATGTTTTTTTGATTATATTATTTTTTTGATTATTTATTTATTTGATAAAATTTACAGAATTTTTAGCATTTGAAACTTGAGCTTTTCATAATTTTTAACAGTAATTTAATAATTATTATCCAATTTATTGAAATTAATCAAACATCATTGGTGTTCGTGATGGAAAGCATTTTGCACGTTACAAAGCAGAATAAATTGTAATTGAAATATCCATATGTAAGTGCCGATGGTGAATAAAAATGAAATAGGACCTATACGCTTCATCATGAACAACAATGGTTTTCTTAATTTCAACAAATTGGATAATAATTATAAAATTACTGTTATAAATAGTGAAAAGCTCAACCGTAAAACCTTCGGTAGATTTTATCAAATATTTCATCATAGTCTCTTTCTAGCTATAAATTTTCGGTATAGTTTAACCTGAAAAATATCATCCATCAAATTTTATAATAATTCTTTTTTTAGTAATTTTGCATCAAATTAATAATTAGGTGAGTGGTTGCATTGGTCTGAAAAGGTTCCAGAATATATATATCCAACAGATTACGTGCCTGATTATGCTAGCATACTTATTCCTAATGTGGATAATGTCAGAGCTAATTTTCTCATTCATACTATTGCTAAACAACATAAAGTAAAATAAAAGTTTTATTTTTATATAAATAAATTTTCTTAAACAAGTTTTAATATTGTTTTTCGAAAATTTTTTTATAAACATTTATTAAATAATTCATTCGATCAAAATTTTTTTCTGTGGTTTTAGGCACCATTTTATCATTTTAACAAAATTAAATTTTCATTTAATACTTGATTTATTCGTTCGTTGTATTCGTTTTTTATTATCCTCATTTATCATTTAGTAAGAAAAGAAGCTTGTTTTTTTTAGTTGGCTTGATTTCTTAAATATACGTACTAGTGTATTCAAGTTGTCTAACTAATATAACTAATAATAATATAATAATATAAATATATATTATTTGATAAAATCTACAGAATTTTTAGCTTTTGAAAGTTTACGATTGAGCTTTTCAAAATTTCTAACAGTAATTTTATAAATATTATTCGATTTATTAAAATTAATAAGATTCAATATTTCTAAGAGTAATTTTGTAATTATTATCCAATTTACTAAATTTAATAAACTATATATATATATATATAGATATATATATATATATATATATATATATATATATATATATATATATATATATATATATTCAACGACAACACCTCCAACACGAAGAATTAACAACAGTACGGCAATCTAATCCGCCAGCAATCTAATAACGGTGATGATGATTACAGTGATGACGATAATGATAATAACAACATCAAAAACAGCTATAATAATAATGAGAACATCTGTTTTTATTTCTTCATCAAAACATAATTGAACGTCCTATAATACATCCTCATTGGAAATATGAGAGGTCCAACTAATTTTCACATATCTTCTCAAAAACCACATTTCAGCAGCATCAATCCTTTTTTCAATTTCTTTTAATGATTTCACTATAGAGATGGCCAATCAATCAATCAATCCTCGTTTATAGTTTCCATCCGTTATGGGTCAGACTTCAGCTTCCATTCATCAGCTTCTGTCTCAAAGCCGATCTATCCATTGCGTCTGTCTCATTGGGACCTAGTGCCTTCAAGTCCTCCCGTATGGTCTGCGTCTAGGACTTTTTTGAGCGACCTCATGGGCGGGCGCCAGGCATCTTCATCCTTCAACGGACACAGTCTCGATTGCTTCAGGATCTTGGTTGTATGGATATGGTTCCTTAGTTTAACATGCTGCATCTAACGAATCATCTTCATGTCAGTTCGGTGAAGCTGCTGTTCTAGTTTTGTTGTCATCGGCCACGTCTCTGCACCATACATCAAAACAGAACCTATAGCTGTGTTGTATTGTTCTGAGCACGGCGGTACAAGAATGCTACGTCACATCGATACCGAGGCATCTGCTTTTACAGTACAATCCAGCATGCTGGAAGTGCACTGGCTATGAGGCGCGACCCCAGGTGGTGGATAGGGGAAGTCCTGGGCAGGGAGACCTTTTAGGATTGCATCAAATAATACAGAATAAGATGCCGCGAATCAACTTTACCAGAAAAGTCAACGGTGAAAGAGGTGGAGGATCCTAGGACAACGGCTCCAAAAACGGATGATCTTCTATTCTAAATCTACTGCCTTGTGGAACATGGACCTTTGACCAAAAGGCTAGGTGCACTGCTTGCATTAGTGCTTTCTTGGCACGAGATAAACTGCAACCGTGCTTCCAGCAAAAAGGCTAGGCCCACTGCTTTTAATTGGTTGTTATCATTGGGAATTGAGCAATTCCTGATATGGCACTGTTATGGCACTGTTTTTACTTCGTTTGACATGACCAAACCTTTATATCATCTAAACCAGCACGACGCAGGATTTCGGTAGATTTGATGTGGTCCTTCATACTAATTTGTTGCATCCATCGGAGCATTTTCATGTCGGTTCGTTAAAGTTGTTGTTCCAGTTTGGTTGTCATCGGCCATGTTTCTGCACCATATAACAACACCAGACATATCACAGATTTATAAAGTCTTGATCGTAGCGGTAGTGGGATGTCACGCCGCATCAATATAGAGGCAAGGAGATGCCACTTATTCCAGGCTGCACGCATGCGTGCTCGAACGGCAGCCTCAGCTGTTCCAGTAAAATCCAAAACATCCCCTAGATATCGAAACGATGGTTAAACTGCTGACACTTGATTGAATTGTTACCTACACTATCTTTACAAACTGAACAGGGCCATCGTCCAGTAGCTGTGGATTGGATGGGTTCACCAGTGTTCGTTCATTGCTTTGGTTTTGCTGATGTTGACTTTGAATCCATGATCGGCCAGTCTGGTGTTCCAATCTTCAAACATCTGTGCTTCATTCTGCTCAGACGTGCTAAAACGATATCATCAGCATATGCAACATCCTTTCTGCTAAAACGATATCATCAGCATATGCAACATCCTTCCCTAACACCTTTCATTATTTTGACAAAACTAGTCATCTTGTTACCAACTTTCATTGCCGCTCTTTGGTCCCAATAAAGGTTTTTGATGACTTTTTTGACTTTCACATCAATGTTTAAATTTTGGTGTAAATGGCATAACATGACATAAAATAATCCACACTCCGCATGATTACCGGGTGCCACACGCCGGTGTGGAACCCCTTCCGTTGTTAGAGTGCCGGATGCTGTCGGTGAGAGTTCACACAGTGGTTTCCTCCACGCAGCTCCTTCTACAATTTTATAATCAATCACACACAGGCAAAATTATCACAAAGCAGGACTCTCCTCTCCGCACGCTGTTGAATCATATCAAGCACGTGTGAGGCCACCTTTCATTTCTACAATAGATGAATCGGAACAAACGCTGTAAAGAGTCAAAAGAAGAATCCTAGCCCAACTTAGATTTGGCCACTGAATCATCTGTAAAAGCTACAAATCTAAAATAGAAGACAATTACAATTCCAAGTGTCCCTTCTGTTTATCACATCCGGATGATGTGTCTTATCTTTTCAGCTGCCCAAAATCTAACATCGCTCAACACAATAGATTTGTGGTAAAATCCGTTTGCGAGCGTGGAATGGCTTAGACCCCGTGAGCTGTGTCAATAGAGGGGCAACAACAGCAACAAAAACATTACCGAAATTAGTCGCACAAAATATTATTGGTGAGTAATAAATTTAAACAATTATTAAAGGCTAACGATGAAATTTCAAAAGTATTAATTATTATTTTCAAGTGTTTTTAACTATCAAGCAAATTATTTTGGAGATTGTTGTAATATTTAGACGTTTAATAAGCTTCTTAGTTGAAAAAGCTGAACTCATGGAAAAACTTAATTCCAATATTTTAATCATTGACCAGTACGCATTTTGAGCCGCCGGTATCACTTTCCTTAATCACTTTCAAAACTATTTCATGGCAACGGAGAGTTGACACATGTTCTATTTCTTCATTCTTCTGTCGAATCATTAGCATTTTGAGTGCAGATTTAATGTCTTTCGAGTTTCGGAAACATGTTATCAATTTTTATATAAATGCTATAAGAATCGTTCCATAGACATTTGTACATTGTTGCTGTTTGAGATTTAACAAAATTTTTGAGTGATCTAACGTTTGAGCCATCTGATTGGTATAGGAGCGAAACATTTTCCGACAGACAACTGCTAATAGGCAACGGCAGCCATGATCTTATTTTTTCGGTTGCCAGAGTGTCTAGTTACGCACCAAACCAATCCAGGTCAACGAAATGGTGTAGTTGCAAAATTCCAGCGCAAACTGCGATGGCAGATATTTTTTAAGGATTTTGAGTTTCACCTGCACTGTTGAGTCTAGTTCGCTGACAGTTGATAATATTTTTTTGAGTCTGATGATCATCTCGATTTCGACGTATTTTATTGCGTTTGAAATCTTAATTTTATCAAGATATTTGAAAAGTCTTCCAATATCAACATAGGGGATTTGTTTGTCATCAATCGACAGCGCTGGGAGTTATTGTTCTTAAACCCCGTTTAGTTTACGCATGCCAAATGAGGAACATTTATCTTTCCGTGGTTTATATCGATGAGTTTTGAGCACTTTCGATGCTGTTGGCAATAATGGCTGTGACATCATTAAATTAGATCAATTATTCCAGACGTTTAGAGTGAATTCAGAATAGATGATATAGCTAAAATAATTTTAAAAAACTCTGTGGAAATTACCAGAACAAGTGTTCAACTATTGTATAAAACAATTAACTTTTTGACACTTGAACATTACAATGCATGCGAATGAAATCATGGCAAACCCAATAAATATTCCGGTTAAACATATTTCATTTTTAAAAATAATAATACGAAAGGTCCAAAAAAATTATCGTCACATCACTTATTTACCAGATCTCTATACAATTATCACATCTGCAATCACAGACAAAATTCATATACAACTGATAGACAATAAAATCATGCCCGAAGAATTGTTGCAGAGGTTCTAAAGGATGTAAGGACTAGCTGATGAATGCCAACATGATTATTTATGATGTAAAAAACACACCAAAAATACATGCATGGCCTGGATAGGTTACAAGGAAGCATATAGTCTGCCATACAGCTAGATATTAGAAACCCTATCAATTTACCAAATATGCCCTGTGATTAGAAGATTTGTAGAGAATACGATGATCATATGCAAAAAGCAAAAATCAGTTTGAATGTGTATGTTATCTATTGCCAACTTAGGTAAAAATTGATTGTATGAGCCATCTTATTTCTTTATTCCAAACACAATATTTATCTATCCTCATTTGCAAGCCAAACCATTTGCAACAGGCTAGATTCAAATCAATAAATTTTTGAGCATCCTCCAAACTGTGTGCAATGATAGCTGTGATGTCGACGTGTTGAAGCCAAGACCAAGCTTTCACTTCAGAGGTTGGATCCCAAAAGTATCCGCACTGTTTAAATTTTTCACTCTTTAAGACCTTCATGAGTGGTTTAAAACATCGATTAAACAATAGCGGAGAACATGGTAACAATCATGTGAATTGTCCGTTAATAGAAACCGATATTGTATAGTTGGATTGGAATAGATTGATATTAACTCGCGACGTAATTTAGGTAAAAGTTGGTGAAGAAGAATTGAGTTGGTGAGATGATTCACTTCACCGAACGCATTCCGGAGGTCCAATTGCACGATGATTGTGGTACGTTGATGTCTCTTTGTATCTTTCATCAAGTGGGCCAACATCTGGGTGAATTCCGCCAGACCATCAATTGTTGGGTGAAATCCTGTTAAAGTGATTGTATTAATGAATCTGTTTTTATAATTTTTAAAGTTCTTTATTTTATGTTACAACGTTATTAAGGTTATTATTTAAATTTTTTCAATGATAATTTTACTCAAGGCGGTCTTATTAATTGGTGAACAAGGCACAGCCAAAACGGTTATGATAAAAGGTTATATGTCAAAATACAATAAAGAAGAACATTCACATAAATCAATAGTATTCAGCTCTGCTACTACTCCCAACATTTTTCAAACAACTATCGAAAGTTGCGTTGAGAAAAGAATCGGTGCAACATACGGCCCGCCTGGTGGTAAAACCATGACAATATTTGTGGATGATATTAACATGCCGCTTGTAAACGAATGGGGAGATCAACCTACTAATGAAATTGTAAGACAACTAATGGAATTTCGAGGATTTTATAACTTATCAAAACCAGGAGAATTTTCATCTGTTATTGATTTACAACTGTTAGCTGCTATGATTCATCCTGGGGGTATTTTATTTGTTTTATTTTTTATTTAGTTGTGAGTTTATTGGTTTTATTATATATATATATATATATATATATATATATATATATATATATATATATATATATATGTATATTATGTATGTGTATATGTGTATTATGTATGTGTATGCATATGTTCATATATAATGAAAAATCCCACTTCTCAGGTTGATGACCTTTCTTCCAATTTTCTAATTAAACAAACCATGACATCAATTATTATTCTTCTTTCACATTGCTTAAATCTTTCATTATTAACTAAAGGTGTTTTTCCCGAATGTCTAAAAGGAGTAAAAGTTTTTTTCTGATATAAAAATGGTACGCATAATAGCCTCTTAAACTATCGTCTTATTTCCATTGTTTCTACTTTTTCAAAAATAACTTAGCACAGTTTTTTGATGAACATAATCTTATTAACGCCAACCAGTATGGTTTTCGAAAAATTGTTCCGCAGAATTGGCTATTTTAGACATAAATAAATGTCATGAAAATAGTCATTGATTCTAAGTTATTTGTTATATATAGTTGTTTTTATAGACATCGCAAAAACATTTGATACAGTACGCTATGATGTTTTATTGAATAAACTGCTCAATACAGGTGTGAGAGGAAATAAATGCTTATGCACGGTTTGAGAGCAGTTTGTTTGAAAGGAACAACACGCATTGCTTGATGATTGTAATTTATCTTTATCTTCAGTAGAATACGGTGTCCCTCACGGACCAATCTTGGATCTTCTGTTACTCATTTTCTTTATTAATGATTTATTTCTATCATCGTTTTTATTAAAGTTTATATTACACCGATAATATCAAAATCTTGGCAAGAGGCAAATTTTTGCCTGATTTGGTTTTTCTGTTGAATATTAAACTTTCGAATGTTGCAGTCTGGTTGTCAAATGGTTTAAAAAAAATGCTCACAAGACAAAATGCATACTATTTGGCCTTAAGATTAATCCTAGACAAATCCTATTAATTTGTCCTTGGCCTTAAGACAAATCCTATTAATTTTGAAATTTTCAGTGTCGGAAAATTAATTCTCAAATCTTTATCCATTAAATAATTGGGAGTAACAGTCATTGATAACATCAGGCAACAAAAAAAATATTTTTTTTTCTATCCTTAACTTTTTTAGTCAAATTATACTAATTTTGGGATGAGAAAAACGAAAATGCAAACGAAAATTTTTTATTACCTCTAGTTTCTGAGATATACAACAACAAAAAATTTTTGGTTTTGTTTATTCACAACACAACAATATGACATATAAATTACTTATTTTAATTATATTTAAAGTGCATTTAGTTTGTTCAATAAAGATTACATTCTAACAATTTTAAACAATGAAATCTAATAAATATAAAGATCATTATGGAATATCTTCACGCGAAAAAGCACATTATTGAAATTCGGAAGAAAGTATCAAAAGGGTTATGGATCATAAATAAAATTAAATCACTTCTGCTTGGTAAAATTATTCTGAATTTATACTATACCTTAATCTATCTTTATTTTATTTATTGCATCTTTAATTTATTTAATGTATTTTTTATTTTACCTTGGGGTAAAAATATTAAGTCACATATTAGTATATAACAACCCTCTCGACAATCATTGAGATGAACGAAAGATTTGATATTGGTCTATAATTTTTAACCTCATTTACATCAGAGTTTGTTTTTCTTTCAAAATTGGAAAACCATCAGGAAATTTACTCACTTTCAAACAAAAGTTAGTAAAACTGGCGTGGAAGCAAATAAACAAATTTAAGTATTTTTTAAAAACATGTGTCGGTATGACATCAAGTGGGCTTGTTTTTGTTAGAGAGCTGAGTATGACACTTTTAACTCGTCTTCTGTAATCACAGGGAACGATGAAAACCAGCAATCATTGGGTGACCTACACCTCTCATTCAACGGCATGGAATTAACATCTGTTGTCTGAAATCTGGTCAACCCTGTCCATGAAGAATTTCATAAACTGATGAGCATTTATTTTTATATCATTACTAGACAAATCGCGTCATGAACCTAGTAATAACATTTTGTTTACAATTTGCCATCTATTTCTGGACCCCTTTTTTAACTTTATTGAACTGTTCCAATACCTTGTACGCCTGTCAGAAAAAGATCATTTTTTAGTTTTTAGCGAAGTAATCCATTTATTTATTTCTATTTATATCCGTTGAACATCTTCTGCACAATCGTTCCATTTTTCTACAACATCGTTTGACGCGCAAGCAGTTTTCATCAAACCATGGAGCAATACTGTCAAGAATCACACTTTTAGGCACCAGTCTGTCAATGATATTCTTTAACTCATCATTGTAAATTTTTAACTCAACAGCAACATCATTGCTATGACAAGAACCAGACAGTCGAAAATTTGAAACTGCTTCAACAAATCTATCTTCGTCGATCTTTTTTCATGATCTAACAAATTGTTTGGTTGTTATTCGACGTGGTTTAGCAATTACCGCTTTAATCATTATTAGACTGTGATAAGAGAAAACTCCATGAGCAAAAACCGTAGTACTAATAACATGGAAATCAGCGGAGCTAACAACCAGATCCAATAAAGATCCTATATATATATATATATATATATATATATATATATATATATATATATATATATATATATATAGTTGTACCGTAGTACTAATAATAGGAAAATCAGCGTAGCTAACAACCAGATATCTCGCATTTGATATAAGATCATAGAAAAAATGTTTATTTCGAAGCAGTTGTTGTTTGATGTAGATAATAAAGAAGTCGCATAAGGATTTGGGTCACAAAACTTACTCCATGACTAGTAACAATCACTTTTGACGCAGAGTGAAGCATGGTAGCGAGAGACGAACAAGTTCAACCTGAATATTAACAAAACCTAATATTTATCATTTGTCAAAGACATCGTTTCTGAGATAGAGTACAATGCAAAAAATAATCTAATATCATTTATTCATTTTCAATATCTAATTTGAATAAATCTACGTACAAAATGGTCAACGTCAAACCTGTTTTTTATTTGTAGTTATAAAAATTTGATTCATTTTGTACAGTTTTTAAGTTCTCGCTTATCGATTTTAATATAAATATAGAAAGAGTTACAACATTTCTATTTCCAGAATTGGTTTTCTAAATGTTAGTTACAGTTAAATGACTAAATTTATTATAAATAAGATAGAAATAAGCATTGTATTATATCTCTAATATTAAATTATATTTTTTTACAAAATTATATTTTTCAGGTGGTCGGAATGACATACCTCAAAGATTGAAACGTCAATTTTCAATATTTAACTGTACATTACCATCAATTCATTCAATGGATAAAATATTCAGAAGTATTGCTCTCGGTTATTTTTGTTCAGAAAGAGGCTTTAGCTCCGAAGTACATTTTTTTTATTGGAAAACAATTTTGTGTGTTTACATTAATTCAACGTTTCAATTTTTTAAATAGTTCATTTATTTATTTATTCATTGGTTCGTTCGAAGTTCGAACTACAGATTTCTTTAAAATACTATTTAAGATTGTCAGTGCAAATCGGGCAGTGTATTTCTTTTTTACATTTAGCGCATTAGAATCCCGCAACTCGCCCAACGTTTTCATTCAATTATTTTTGCGTAATATAAAATAAACTTGAGCGTCAATGTCACCAGTGCGTATCGGTTTTGTGATTTCTTTCATCACAGTAGATAAATAACAGTAGACTGAGAATCGAGCCTTGTTGAACTCCAACGCCAATGTCAAATGCATTTGTGTTTCCAACTGTTGTGTTGACAAGAGTCTTAGTATTCGTATACATTTCCATCACAAGTCGAACAATATATTCTGGAATGAGTTGTCGACGTAGACTCCACCTGATTGCTCCACAGGGAACTCGATCAAATGCTTTTTTAAGGTCTACAAAAATGAGTGATAGTTGTTGATGCTTTGCGAGGTACTTCTCTTGCAGTTGCCGAAAGATGTGAATTGTATCAATTGTTGATTTCCCCGCTAGTAAACCAAATTGATAATTTCCGATTGTGATGCACAAGGTTAATCTTCTCTCAATGATTTTCTCGACAATTTTCAGGGAGTGTTATAGCAGACGTATACCCCGATATGATGAACAGTTCAATGGATCACCTTTGAATAGCGGGACTGTCATGATGGGATTTGTTTCGTTTAACAGACGGTTAAAGTATTCTCAGACGGTTGAAGTATTCTCTCCACTGTAGCTCACGGAAAATTTTATGGTCATCAACAGACTTTGATTTTTGCCATTGCTTGTATGCAACTTTCTTTTCAGCTTTTGCATTTTGTACACCGTCATTCTACCACCAAGTGTCCTTTCATGCTGACGTTTTGTTCCAGTTTTCCTACAAACTGCAGTTTCAGCGTTCATCAAAACGGTTTTGTATGTATTCCAATCTGTACCGGCTTGCGATTGGTGGTCTAACTGTGTGGCGATAATTTTTCTCGATGAATATTGTTTTTCAGCTTCCACGTTTTGATTCTCCGAAGCATTTGTTTAGACTTGTGTTTTGACAGTTTGACAACCTGGTCTGACACAAAGAGTCTATGTTGGGCGACACATGATTTGCCAGGTATAACTTTGACATTTTTGAATAGCCTTCGGTGTTGTTGCTTGACAGCGAAGAAATCAATTTGCGTGGCTGATAGTCCACTTTTGTATGTTATGAGATGTTCCAACCTCTTTCTAGAATATGTGTTTAATAAACATAACCCGTAACTTTCAGCAAACTCAAGGATGCGTTTGCCATTTTCATTCCGTTCTCCATAGCCGAAACCGCCATGTACGTTGTCAAAACCATCTGTTTTCTCTCCAACGTGGCCATTGAGATCGCCACCAATCAGGATTGTTTTAGATTTTGGTATTGTTGAGATGGTGTAACAAAACGCAGCCTAGAAGTCATTTTTTTATTTCTTCTGATTCGCCTGTCTGTTGTGCGTATGCAGAAAAATAATCATTGTTTGCTTTTCTATGCGAAGCTTGATCCACATGAGACGTGAATTAATCCTTTTAATATCTATTACTTCTTGGGCTAGCGGTTCTCTAACAAAAATTCCAACATCATTTTTGGCCGTCTTTTGACCATTCCAGAATAGTTTATATTTTTCTTTATCCGAGTTGACATGACAGACACCATTCGATTTCTATCGTGTTTCCTGAAGGCAGCAGATGTCAATCCTTCTACGCTCGAGCATTTCTGCGATTTTCATGCTGCGGCCAGTCAGTGATCCAACATTGAGCGTTCCAAGTCTAAGTACCATAGAGGGGCCATTCTGAATTTTTCTGCAACATCCCTCCGCTATTGCATATTTCCCAGGGATTCTTGGCACCCCTTGACCACTAAACGCCTGCTGGGGACTAGGGGCCGTTGTTTTTCTTTGTGATGGCATGAGAATAATTTGGAGAAGTTTTTACATCCGGACACCCATCCTGACGACAACTACCAGTTTTAAGCGTTGGGCCTAGCCTTTTGCTCAAAAGCACGCAAGGCAGCGTGGGTGCTGTTTTATGTCATGCCCAAAACCGAAGATGTCAATGATCCACGTTTTGATTCTCCGAAGCATTTGTTTAGACTTGTGTTTTGACAGTTTGACAACCGCTTCACAGAAATCTATTTTTTATCATTCATAACAATGAAATTTATACCCAGGTCTGCCAGGTACCAATAGGAAGAAAAACAATGTCAATTTTATGATCATAGAGAAAATCTTTGTTGTCAACATAGTCAAAATTCTATAGTCAAAGTCAAAGTAGGAAACAGTATCTGATTTAATAACGCACGTCGGTAAATTGTTCCAAATAGAGATCACTTTTTAGAAAACGAATAGTTTCTTGTATTTGTATAGCGATGCCCTCTGGTACGTGGATCTGCATCAAAAAACAAAGCTGGTGTTTTGATGCAGATCCAAAACACAAAACACGAATCTCTATCTACCATACCCTTCGCAATGCTGAAAATCATTAATAAGTCTCCACGAACTCTTCTAAATCTTAAAGTTGGCAAGCCAAGAAACTTCAATCGATCCGAGTAACAAAGGCCTTTGCAATCCCTGACCATCTTGGTTGCCCGTTTCTGAACCCTTTAAAAATCGTCATTTTCTTTTATTTTTCAAGAAGACCACACACTGACACCATACTCTAACTTTGATCTAATTAAAGATTTATAAATCAAAATAAATAACTCTTTAGTTAAATTTTTAAAGTTTCTGTATAACAATCCTAAAATAACAATAACAATCCTAAAATAACAAAACATTTTATTAATGACATGATGTATATATTTAGAGAAGCTCAGTGAACGTTCAAACAAAACCCTCAAATCGTTTACTTTACCACAAAAAGCCAAGTTAGAATTATTAATATAATAACACCAGTTATTATCCAAACATGAATGACTAAATTTTATGGCTGCACACTTTTCAAAATTCAAATGTTTTTGTAGCACTATTCTATCATCACACATCTTATAAAATTGAACATTCTAGCATCATCAGCATACAAATACATTAGAACAAAATTATCTTCCATATTATCAAACATATCATTTACATACACAATAAACAAAGCCGGACCTAATACACTTTCTTGAGGCACTCCACTACTAACTTCGAACCTTTTAGACAAACAATTATTCACTTTCACACTAAAAGTTCTACCACACAAATACTCCTTATCCATTCAACCAAACAATCATTCACACTATAACCACGCAACTTATTAACCAATAACACATCAAAAGCTTTGGTAAAGTCTGTGTAAATAACATCAACATCCAAACAATTATCAACTGCACCAGTCCAACAATCTATCAATTTCAACAACTAGAGAGTTCTTGATTTTTCCTTCACAAAACCATATTGCCTATAATCTAATAAATTGTCTTTATAAATGTAACTCAATAGATGATCTTTAATAATGGATTCCAAAAGTTTGCAGCAAACACAGCTTATGCATGGTTTGTAAAATCATAAGAATCAATTATTTTCAACACATCAGATGTATAAAGCAAAAACAATAAAGGACCGAAAACAGATCCCTGCGGCACACTAGAGCGAACCACACTGACGTAGGACAAATTCCCATTGAACGAAACATGCTTTGTTCGGCCAATCAAGTAGTTTCTGAGCCAATTTATTATTTCCCTAGATATTCCAAAACTTTGATGCAGCCTGAGCAGTAACATTTCATGATTGACACATCGAAAGCCAAGCTCATGTCCAAGAATGTCTACAAGAAAATGTTTTGAGCATCCATCTCAGCATAAACCCCAGAACATGTAGCAGGGCAGTTTCAGTGGAGTAAAATTGTCTGAAACCGGATTGAGATTATTATCATTTAAATGAACAAGTAATTGTCTTGACAGCATTCTTTCAATGAGTTTTGATATAAATGACAGATTGCTGATAGGTCGATAATTATTGACATCACTTGAATCTGCGTCACTTTTTTAATAATGGCACAACAATTGCATGTTTACAGGGTGTGGGGAAGCAACCTACCCTCATGCACAAATTTATCAGACTGGTTATAAATGGACAGAACAATTCAAAATGTTTATTAAAGAAACGCGTTGGTAAAATATCCACTTGACAGGACTTTGTAGGTGAATGAAGCACTTTCTTTTTGACATCAGCCTCAGACACCGCCAGAAAAGTCGAAAACAACTGCTGACATCCATGATCATCACTGTTTAGACAAGGCTGATTTTCAGTTGCAGTCTTTTGTTTTATCATTTCAATTTTTTCATTAAAGAAAGTCATGAAATGAATAGCATTGAGATAATTGAATTTGCGTTTAGTGCCTTCACAGTGACTGTTTAGAAAAATTTTATTAACCACCCTTCACAAGCTTTTTGAAGTTTTACTGTTTTCGTAGACAATTTTCTTCCAATATATTTTACGTTTGTTTGAATAAATTTCAGCTTTTTTTAAGGGCCAATATCCATTCATTTTTATCAGGCGATTTATGACTATTTTTAAAATCATCATCAAACCATTGTGCAACATGACAGCGCCTAGGCAGCACCAGTACAAGAAGAACAATCCTATCAACAATTTTCTTTACTTCGTCACTGAATAAATCAAATTCTGCATTTATATCATCAGTTTTACCTGGTCTAGACACTGGAGACACAAGTACTTGCTCAGCGAAAGCTTTCTCATCAAAACGATTTCAGAGACTTTGTTAATTTTATTGATAAACTAACCTGTACCAAACCATGATCAGAATAGTTTCCACTAGGATAAACCTTTGCTTCACTGAACGTCCTACCTCGGGAAACCGGGTCTCTGGACTCAAAACAAAGATTGATTGATTGATTGACTTCACTGACCGCTATATTGTGTGACGTCACAATCAGATCGAGCGTTCCTCCTAGAATATGCGTTGGTTCATCTATGTGGTTGATCAACTAAAACATTTTAAATATTTCACGTAAATTAACAACGTTTGGATTTTTCGACCTCTCCATGTGAATATTGAAATCTCCCGCTAACAAAATACGAGAACTAATGATTGTAACACATTCTAAGACCGAAATCAGTTCATCAAAAAATGATGCCGTTAATTTTTCAGATCCAGGTCTTTAAATTGCTAGTAGTATATAATCTAATTCATAAATTTTAAGTTTCCCCCCCAACTCGAAAGCAGTAACTAGTGGCAGAATGATCTTTTTATATCTAAAAATTGATCGGAAAAAAATGATTAAATTTCCATGGTGTGGGTCGTGCGATCTTAAACGGTCTACAAACTGATAGCCAGGTGGCATTGATAACCCAATGGAAATATTATCTGCCGAACCATGCCAGCTCTCCGTCACAACAAAAATGTCTAGGCCTTCGTGAATCAAATCATAAATAGAGCTGAATTTTGTTATTATAGATCTGATATTTAAAACTCCCAGGACCACCGATTGCTCCTCATTTCTAATTTTAGCAGGCTCACCTTTACCAGATGCTTCATTAAAACTTTCGTAAATTTTATCATTCTCAACATACTGAAATTTACCTATTACATTTTTATTGTTACACCCTTTTCCACCACACACATCAAGACGTGAGATTTTATATCGACACTTACTATAATAGCGTTTATTATTTGCATATTTAAAACAACTTTCAACGTTTACTCCATCAAAATCAATATCATCAACGCAACCATGAGTGCCATCTCTTTCAATCAAACTTTTTCTTTTAGTTTTTGATCCTTCCGAAACCTCCGAAACTTGACTATTTTCCATCTTCCCGGAGGTCCCCTCACTCTGAATAAAAAATCATCGCTTACAAATTCTTGCTTTTTTGCATCATTGATCAACTTCTTCAGCTCATCTCTCTGATCATTTGATAGGTCGTGACTAAGCCAAACACCTTTTAGGACATCATCCAACGATTTCATTCGTGATACATTATCCATTATTAAGTTTTTCGACTCAACACCATCAAGACTAATCAATAACGGTCTGTAATTTTTCTTGTTTTTTCCCTAGTCTCGTTACTTTAACAACTGCTTTCTCGGCAACTTCGTTTCGAGTCAAGTGATTCAAAATCCTCATAACACGTTCTTTGTCGTCGTCTCCTTCAGCAAGTCTAAAAAGCACCAACTTTTTTTCTCTCTTCTTGATATCTTTCGCATCATTCAACTTTGTTTTCACATTTTTGACTTCAACGTTAATTACATCAATGTTTTTTTTAACCTCTTTGCTTACTATATCGGTCCATGATGTACTGACTCCACCACTGCCCGTACGCATCTCATCAACAGCATGATTAATGTTGCTTAATTTTTCATCATTCAATTTTACTGCACATCTGATATTCCGGAGCTCCGACTCTATGATTTTACTGGCATCAGTCAATCCATCAATTTAAATCATCAATTCCTGTTTACTTCTGTCAACTACCTTCGCAAGCAGATCCGTGTCTATTTCCGCTGATGACTTGGTGTCTGGAGAAACATAATTACACGTATCAAAAAACTAATTGAAATTATTATATTTCTGAAGGAAACAGTACACATCATCAGGTATTAACGTAAGATTTGAAACACAACCGCAACGAAAACAGCTAACGTTCTTCAACGAATCGGACAAGTTTAATTGTTTACAAAAGTTGCTATAAAGTCTGTAAAAAATTAAAAACAAAAAAACACAACATAAACAAACAAACACAACTAGTAGAAAACAATCCTATTTGTACTAACAACTTCAACTTTATAACTACGCTTATTTAAATTAGGTTTTCCATTAAATTAAAGTAAATATCATAAATTAAAATAAAATTAACTATATATAATAATAAATTTGATAAAAGAAATAAATAAATTTGTTTTTTTTAATTTCCTCTGCAACTAAATTTAATTAAACCACCATATGAAAATTCTATATAATCAAGAAAAACACGGAGCAGAAACGAAACCAGCCGAAATATCCGAAGGCCCAAGAATATATACATAATATATATTTTCCAAATTTTTTAAAAATAGGTACATTCCTTGATAAAAAAAATAATGGAGCATTTTTTTCATTTTTTTTTTTACAAAAACCAATATAAACATTACATTAGGTTCAACACGTATACGGACACGCATTTTCATTCAACTATTCAGAGTAACAAATTTAAAACATTTTTGTTGTTTCATTAATATTAATATTTGCAAATTTAATAATATACGTGTCAAATAAGACTTCACAACATTGATTTATTAAAACTTTTAAATACTTTAGATTCATTCGGTTTTAGCGGTTTGAAAATAATTTAACTTATATTGTAAAGTCTAATGACCAATTGAACCACAATTTTTAGACTTATTGTAATCATTCACATTCAATCAACGAAATAAATTTATAGGTGCCTTTTACGCTATGTTCACCAGCGCTCCTTAAATGAATATCACTAATATATGGGTCTTGAGATCCGCTCTGAATTTCGTAAGTGTTGGAAAGGTGTTTAAAAAAGGAAGTAATTCCAGAGAAAAGGGTGTGAAGAAGATGTGAGAACGAGAAAATCATCGTAAACCAGAGGGTTTAGCTTTATTTATATATCTGATATAACTGATATCTGATATATTGGGAAATAAATTAAGACTTGTACATTTATTTGCAAGTTTTAAAAATTATTTTATGTTTTATAGGTAAGAGAACAAGTTATGGAGATATACGTTGCTTGTTGTTGGTTTTCTAGATTCAATTCAATGTCAGCATGTAAAGTGGCTTTGCATGTCAGAAAGAATCGTTATTATACTAACTTTTCTAATCAGCGATTGTCTTGCTGGTGATGCTCCAGCTTAATTGAAGGAGCAACTTTAATTAGTATCCGGAATAGCAAATCGGCTGAGGTATTCTAATAATGGGAATTCTTGCTTTCAAAATTCAATTCGTCTCGTCTTTGAAAAAGAAGATTTTCTGTTTCATTTCCAAAAATCTGAAACTCAATATTTGAAAAAATTCAACAACTCGAGCTGATATGTTTCTAAAAAACGTTTGAAAAATCATTTGTTTTGACATTCTTGAGTGAAGCTAGCGCCTCTGACTTTATTTAGTAGAAGCGCTCCATAAATCTTTGGATAGAGATATGAGAAAAAATAGGGGCACGAGCAGCAGGATTAAAAGCTTTGTTTGAAGGATAGAGTGTAGGATCAAGAAGACCGAAGTAGAGCAAGTTACAATAATTTTGGATAAAACTATTGTAGTAGTGATTGTGTAAAGATTAATAAATAATCGTAAAAGTAACGCATTGACAAATCAAAACAAAATTTGTATCGCTCCCGGGTTACTTACAACAATATATTTATTTTTTCTGTTTTATTTATATTTTATTCCATTTATATTTAAGTTTATTTTTCAATTATTTTTTTTTAGAGTTATATTTTTATTGTTTAATATACAGTTATAGAAAATATTTGTATTTATTATTGTGATCGTTTATTATTATTATTAATAAGGTTGTCGATTTTGTAGAAGATTTAATATCTTTAACCCGAGTAGTATGGCAGAGAACGAAAAGTAAAATGCTACCCACGCCTGCTAAATTTCATTATGTATTTAATTTGAGAGACCTTTCACGTATATGGGAAGGCATTTTAATGGTTAGTGTTTTTTTTATTTAATTATCTGTGAATAAAAAGACGTAAAAATTGTGCTATTTGAGCATTTTTTGCACATCGTTTCAGGTAAAAGCGCCACAATGTACTTCAGAAGCCATTATAGCATCATTGTGGAAGCACGAATGTACAAGAGTTATTGCTGATCGATTTGTTTCTGCTGAAGATCGCAAGTGGTTTGAAAATGAGGTATCGATTTAATATTTTGTTGTGTGAATGTTTAGTTTCGTTGTTCTGACTAATTATACCTTAATGTTTAGATTTACAAGATATCGCAGCCAATTATAATGGATGATCCAATCGTTTTAAGCAGCATGAATGAACCATACTTTGTTGACATTTTAAAAGACGAGCCTGAATTAACTGGAGACGAGCCTGAAGATTTTGAGGCTGGGATGCCAAGAATTTATGAAAAGGTAACGTTATTCTATTTTTAAAAACTGGCTATGCTTATGTCGCCGGGATTATTTTATTTGATGTTAAAGTTGTTTTCTACATTTTTGAGTTTTAAAAAAATTTGATAACTTTATCTCCTTCATAATGAATTTGGGTTCGTGTGAACTTCTCAATAGTTAATTATTATATTCATTTACTCACACCATAAAAATCTTAATTTAAATGTTAAATTAATTAGGGATGAAAATTTAAAATCTTTCTTGTATTTTCTTTTAATCAAAAATATTGACAATCTAGGTTTACTTTTTTGTTCATTATTTTTTTTATAATGTTTTCATGTGGGATATTTGGTATTTTTGAGTTTTTATATTAAATTTCCTGAAGACCTTCTGCGTCTTCAGGTGCTTTGTGTTCTGCTTTTTTATACTCGAAATTTTCCATCAAACATATACAACCTACATCATACATTTTGAATACACTCTGGATCAGTTTTCTATCGAACGAATATAACCAGATAGAGGCAGAAATTGTTACAACATGAAAAAGCAATAGTATAAAATAATAATGAAAAATAAATAACGGTGCGATAATTTTTAAGTCTGAAAAGCATGGAAAATAAAAATGATTTAAAAAAACGAATAAATAAAATAATTAATAATGTGACTAATTATAATAATGTGATCGATAATAAAAAAGAATGTTTAAGGTGTTATAATGTTTAAGCATAAACAAGCAAGTATGGTGAATAAAATAATGATTTGAAAAAAGAAATAGTAGTGCTAATTTATTAGTAGATTAGTTAATGACATAGTAAAACGAATAAATAGAAAAAATAATTAATAGATTAGTTAATGAGTTTGTTAGATTAGTTAAGTTAGGTGTTCGTTAAAGAAAAAGAAAAGACAAAATTGAACAAATGACAATAGTTTATTGAGTGTTAGTAAATTTAAACTAAACATCAAATGTAGTCATTATAAAACAAATGAATAGACACAAAAGCAGCCATCTTTAAATTTAAAAAAAAATTAGAAATGAACATAGGCTTATTTTGACAACGAAGTGTTTTATAAATTTACTACTTTATAACCTTTATGTAGGTTTTTTTGGTGATTATTATAAAATTATAAATTTGTTTTAATTTTTGTAGATCCCGTCAATGGATGTTTTGCAAAACAGATTATCTACTTTTATGAAGCAATACATAGAAAATATTCGTGGAACTACCTTGAACATGGTTTTGTTTAAGGATGCTATGACACACATCGTTAAGGTGCAATTAATTTAGCATGTATTTTTATTGGCAAAAGCTTATCGCAATTGGAAAAAAAATTTAAACCTGATGTAAAATGATGTTAGATTAGAGATTATGTGATTTAATTGAAAAAATATTCATTGGGTTAAATTTTTACTTATAAACTATATGCGAATAAAAAAAATTTTTAAAATAAGAATTGCATAACTTTCCAAGATGATTTTATTTGGCAAAATGTTTAATGAGAATAAAATGCATTTTTCACAAAATTAATTAAAACGTACTTTTTGTAAATTCATTTTTCAAAAAATAAATTGAAACGTATTTTTTAAATCCTAGAGCTAAATCATATTTTTCATCGATAAATTTTATTTATAAATATTCTTACGTCTACTTGTACTACTTGTAACATTACGTAAAAAAACCAACAAAGGTTTTAAGAATTATTCGTACACCTGGTGGAAATGCACTTCTTGTTGGTGTGGGTGGTTCCGGAAAACAATCCACAGCAAAATTAGCATCGTTTATTTACGGATATAAAGTTTTTCAAATAACTTTGAATCGGTATTTTTTATTGTATTGTTTACAATAATAACAAATAATAAGATGAACAAAACCACGAGAGCATTAGATAGTAAACTTAATTAGTTTTTATAATTTCACAGAACATACAACACTTCAAATTTGTTAGAAGATCTTAAAAATTTGATGAAGTCAACGGGTGGCTCGGGCCAAGGATTCACATTTGTTTTCACAGATAATGAAATCAAAGAAGAATCATTTCTCGATTATATTAACAATTTACTCAGTACTGGTGAAATATCTGGACTTTTTCCTAGAGTAAGTTTTGTTTAGTCTTTAGCTCCTAGTTGATTGTAGCATAATTACTCATTTATTTAATGTGCAATCAATCAATCAATCTTTGTTTTGAGTCCAGAGACCCAGTTCCCCGAGGTAGGACGTTGTTTTCTTTGCCATCAAGATTTTGCGCCAAAGTAGACGATCAGTTGTATCCATTTCATTTAAATTTAGAGTTTTCATGTCTTGCTCGATTGTTTGCGACCAGGACTTCTTTGGACGGCCTTTGGGACGTGAGCCAGGTATTTTAACATCTGCAAGAAATGTTATGGCACTGTTTCCACTTCGTTTGACATGACCAAACCACCGCAGACAGTGTTGCCGGTATTCGTCCTTTATATCATCTAAACCAGCACGACACAGGATTTCGGTAGATTTGATGTGGTCCTTCAGACTAATTTGTTGCATCCATCGGAGCATTTTCATGTCGGTTCGTTGAAGTTGTTGTTTCAGTTTAGTTGTCATTGGCCATGTTTCTGCACCATATGACAACACCGGACGTATCACAGATTTATAAAGTCTTGATCGTAGTGGTAGTGGGATGTCACGCCGCATCAATATAGAAGCTAGGAAATGCCATTTATTCCAGGCTGCACGTATGCGTGCTCGAATGGCAGCTTCAGCTGTTCCAGTACAATCCAGAACACTTCTTAGATATTGAAACGATGTGACTTTCTCTACCTTAATGGCTTCAAAAGCAGTGCTATTTCGAATTTGTTGTTGTGGATTGATGCAAGCAAGACAAACAAAATTGGACACTTTAGATAAAGTACCAATTATTTTTGAACGTTTTTGACACCACTGGTTACACTGCTGACACTTGATTGAATTAATACCTACACCAGCTTTACAAACTGAACAGGGCTATCGTCCAGTAGCTGTGGATTGGATGGGTTCACCAGTGTTTATTGCTTTGGTTTTGCTGATGTTGACTTTGAATCCATGATCGGCCAGTCTGGTGTTCCAATCTTCAAACATCTGTGTTGCATTCTGCTCAGACGTGGCTGTTAAAACGATATCATCAGCATATACTAGATTTCAAATGTCACCAGTGCGTATCGGTTTTGTGATTTCTTTCATCACAGTTATAAATAACAGTGGACTGAGAATCGAGCCTTGGTGAACTCCAACGCCGATGACAAATGCATCTGTGTTTCCAACTGTTGTGCTGACAAGTGTCTTAGTATTCGTATACATTTCCATCACAAGACGAACAAGATATTCCGGAATGAGTTGTCGACGTAGACTCCACCTGATTGCTTCACGGGGAACTCGATCAAATGCTTTTTCAAGGTCTACAAAAATGTGTGATAGTTGTTGATGCTTTGCGATGTACTTCTCTTGCAGTTGCCGAAGGATGTGAATTGCATCAATTGTTGATTTCCCCGCTAGAAAACCAAATTGATAATTTCCGATTGTGATGCACGACGTTAATCTTCTCTCAATGATTTTCTCGACAATTTATTGTACAGGCATATTTATATTGCACTTTTATAAATAAATTATTTTATTATATATATATATATATATATATATATATATATATATATATATATATATATATATATATATATATATATATAATGACAACAAAGTTCAACAAAGTAATGACATCAACAAAGATGAATAATACGCACTGAAGCTGATTTATGAAAAATCGAAATAAATCCTTATCTGCATGATGAATTCGGATAACATCAGTTTCATTAAATTTTCATGATGAACTTTTAGGTCGTAAACAATGTTGCAAAAAGTTGAGAGGTAATTTTAAAAGCAAGATTTTCACGAAGGACATGAAAGATTGGTGCTGCTGCATCTTTAAAAAATAACAATAACTATCATCCAAAAAGCTGACAAAACCCCAATGTATGTCATAATGGATAAAGATGATTATAATGATAAGTTTAATGGCATTCTTGGTGATACTGACTACGTTTTTCATGAATATTTTTTTGTTTTTTAATATTCGTTTACTCGTTTTGCTTTAATTCCTAATTTTCAAATGATTTACAATTTTCAGTTGAATCTCAATCTTCATTTGACTCACGATTTGCATTTAATTCACAATTTTCAATTGATTTACAATTTGGCATTTAATTTATAATTTCCGATTGATCCACAATTTTAATTTGATTAACAATTCGCATTTAATTTACAATTTTAATTTGATTAACAATTTGCATTTAATTCCCAATTTGCATTTGATTCACATTCTACGTTTGATTCACAATTTTCAATTAATTCATAATTCTAATTTGATTCACAATTTACATTCAATTTACTATTTTTAAATGTTAAAGATTAAAAGTCTACTACAGCTTTCTAAAGTTCTGAGGAATCACCATTTTGATATTCAACATTGAAAAATCTTGAGTTTTACGGTAGAACTAAAAATTTTTCTAAAACGGATTTTGGATTCGAGCCGCTTTTTGTAACAGATTTAAATGTATTCATATTTATGTATGTACGCATGTATGTTCACATGTGAATATATATAACATATTGATCACCAAGTGATGGCCATGTTGTGTATATACATGGATCTCTAGACATCTGGATGAAAATTCGTCTTGTGTTCGTGTGAGCGCTGTGCAGAAATACATATTTGTATATACGCAATTACGCATGTATGCACGCGTTTACACATTGTACATTTATTTGTTCACATGTGAATATGTATGTAAATGATAATATTGATCAACAAGCAATGACCGTGTTTTGTGTATTCATGGATCTCTGGACATTTGGGTGAAAATCTTGTGTTCGTGTGAGCGCTAACCAAAAATGCAACCGTGTAACTTATCTATGCTTTTGTTTATATTCAGATGCACTACTTGTTCGATCTCACTTACCATTTAATTTACCATTGAATTGTTTGTGTAATATTAAAGTTTTTAATATTTAAGTTTTTATATTAATTAAATTACTGTTAACATGGTAAATATTTTTTGCCAACAGATTTTGTTGATGAATTCAATGAGTCTTATGAAAAACATTTAGTAAAATTAATATCTACAGGTCATTCTGACGTCAAGAAACAATAAAGATTGTTAAAAGTAGATGCAGTTCCATTAAAATTCGAAAACATACCAACATATCTCTTAACAACACCAATAACATCATGATTTCAAACAAAATTCTCAGCTGCAAACCTAAGGGACTGCTTAGTTGATTATTGAAGGAAAGCACACTTTTTTCAGGTTTAGACTATAACCTGGTAGACAATTCCTTTTTAATTTATAAATTGGAGGTAAAAAATAATTGTTCTAAAGTTGTTTCATCAATGTTGATTAGTGATGAGCTTGAATTTTTGTATGTCACAATGGGATTGAACTCCCAAGAAGTTTTTTTGAAATTTCTTAACAAGAATGAGTCAATTGATTATTCTCGTTGCTCGTATAAATTTATATTCAATTGATGCATCAGAAATAAAGTGGAATGAAGAAAGAGATTATTTTAAATCAATTTAAAAATTATATAGAACGTTTAGATGACAGTATAGATTGTTATCGAGTAAGGTTTTTAATCGGCAATTGAAGTTGATAGGTTGGGTTAGGGTTTAAAGAGTTTACAAACCTGAAATCATTGTTAGGGCATATCAGCAGGTTTAACGGCATACTCAAATTTATTAAATTTATAAACTATGTGTCTACCACCCATAACAAAACCAAGGACAATTGCAAGAAAATTTAAAACTGACACAGGTGTTGACAATGCTTCAGTATCAGAACTTGTATGGCGCCTCTCTCGAAAGACCTCAGAAGCGCTTTCTTTGGTGTACAGTGTTGAAATAATGATGTTTCAATGTTTTTTTTGAATAGCCGTCGATCGGTGATGGAACCACCCCTCAACTGTACAGGAAGATAACTACGTCCATGTATTTTTGATACCGATATTAGTTGTTCATTCATGTAAATCGGTGCATTTCCAGTCAGACAGTCCATTACCAGGAGTGCCACATTAAATTTAATAAGTTGACTCCATAAATTATCGAGTTGGAGAAGTCAATTTGAATACAGACAAAACTATGTACAAGTGTTTTAGTTGACTCCATAGTGAGGAAGCGTCTGATGGTTCTGACTCTATGCAGTTGATAGAAACATTTCCCACAGATATTTTTGACATGCTCTTCCAATGATAAACGTGAATCCAGTAAAACACCGAGATTGTTCACCGACAATGTAAAATCATTCATCAATTTCAATCTTTGTGGGGTACCAAGCCAGATGTGTTGAGTTTTTCACATTCAGTCCCAACTTTATACTTGGATAAATAAAAACAGCCTCAATAGCTGCGGAAAACTTGCATCTTTTTTACAAAAAGGATAGAAAATTTTAATGGTAACATGATTGGGTTAACATCTGATGGAGAAGTGAACAGCACTATACTCTACTTTATAGTTAAGTCATTGTTCCACAAAAACGACCAGCACGATACTCTGCTTCGTAATTAAATCATTGTGCTAACCCTACATGAATAAGTCATTGTGCTACAAACAATTTAACATCAATTCCACTACATGAATGATAGAGTGAGGTTATGATGATGCTGACAAAACTTAATGTTAATGTTGTCTACATATTTGTAGATAATGCACCTGTTAACAGAAAGTTTTTCAGCATATAAATATGAAAAATCATATAAAAGTTTTTCAAACAAATCAGCCTATTCAATAAGTCATATTATAATTCCTCAAACAAATCAGCCTATTATCTATACATTTTCAACTCGTTAAAAAACACTAAAAACATTTTCCAAGGCTCAAAATCAAAAAACTTGTTTGTCAAATGCTGAAAAGTATGTTGGAAACAACAAAATTTAATATTAGTGGATTATTTAATTTGTGCCTGAAACCATGATGTTAAAAAAAGTTAGTAAGTCGTTTTTTTAACTGCCCGTCACTACAGAAATTAATGAAAATTCCAGTGAAAGCAAGTCATAAAAAGCGAAAGCTGAATAAATTCACAGGACAGTATTAACTTTTTTGTAAATCATTTAAAATGTTTATGTTTTTATTTGACTTTTAATCATTTCGTTTTACTTTAAGTCATTAAAAAATTTTGATATTTTGATATTTTTTTGATTATTTTTTTATGTCATTACATGCATGATATATTCAAAACTTGTTAATAAATTGAAATTTCTTTTATTTTCAATGGTGTTGACTTTATATTTCATAAAAATAATAACAAAGTTATACAATGGCCTCATTTCTGTAAAGACCAATTTTTAGTTTTTCATCCGGTTAGAAATAAGTCCAGAGATCCACGGTATATGTAAAATGATTTAAAGCGTGAAAAATTACAATTGTATTGCTTGAAATATTGTATCGATTGATGTCACTATCTTGATTATCTTTTTTATTTTAAAATTACCATACACTTTCATTAAGAAATTTTTTTTTCAAAACGTGTTAACATATGTGGTGCTTGTATAATTGCACATGTTTTCATTATATATGTTTCTTTTAATGTATGTGTGTTTGTATATAAGAGCAATTATAGAAATCGATAAAGAGGTGTAAGTTCGATTTATAATAATTTTAAGATAATTTATTGAGTTATTTATTGATAAGAATGTATTATAAAAAAATCTATGCTGGTTTGAGTTTAGTGTTGGCATAGCCCATTGTGTATTTGTTACATTTCTATAAGTAATTTGTGACAATTCACAAATTACTTATAGTGTATTTGTGTATTTGTTACATTTCTATAAGTAATTTGTGACAATTCACAAATTACTTATAGAAATGTAACAAATACACAAATCCGCCTCCGGCTAAATCTGTCTTTTTAAATCAGGTAAACGACTCCGGTCGATTTGAGTAAATCAAATCTACTCCCAACGTTCTATAAAAATTATTGCATTCAACATAACTACTATTTTTTGTTGAAAACGCAAATTCTGATGAACATTATGAAAAAATTACTCTTTAAAAAGTCGTGAAATTAATTTTTTCAAGATTTTTTAAAGAGTAACTTAACAAGATTATTTGGCCAAAACAAAATTATTTGGCCGAAACTGGCCGAAATCAAACCTTCTGTCGGTTTCTAGTGCTAATTGACGCATCACACACAATGCCTATAATAAGTTGGGATCCTTTTGTCATATTTGAACGTAGTCACTTGGGTTACAAATCCAGGTGACCTTTAGCACTAGGCTATCACACCGGCCTCACAATTGTTTGTTGGTTCACTATCTTTATTTGATTCAAAATCTTCATTTGACTTACAATATTGTTTCGATTACAATTGGCATGTGCTTTTCAATTTTCATTTGTTTCACAATATCAGGATGAGATGGATGAAATTTTACAAAGCCTTATACCTATTATGAAAAAAGAAATGCCTAAACATCCGCCAACAAATGAAAACTTAAATGACTATTTCTTTTCAAGAATCAGAAAAAATTTGCATATAATTCTTTGTTTTTCACCGGTTAGTGTTATTTTTTATTTTTTCTAAACTTCTTTTTATATACGGTTTGTTTATGTACGTTTTACAATATAATCTATAGTTTTTCAAATTACTTTTTTCAATTATTGTCATTTGCAACGTTGACCTAAAACGGGGACAAATCTTTGTTACTATTATTACAATTTGTTATTGTTGCCATTATTATTATTATTATTATTATTATTAAATACATTTGAAATATCTACTTTAGGTTTCTTTAAAACATTTAATCTTTCGCTAATAAATATTATTTGGACTGATTATTTTTGCAATAACCTTATAATCTCTGCTATATCATCGTCATACGCTATCTATTGCGGCAGAAATGTGAAATGAATCAATTTTAAAACTAATTAATTCTGGTCGTACTCTGTTGATTCGAATGATGAGCTTCTCAGATTAATACTCTATTTATTGCATTTGACATTTTACTTTATTTCATTATTTTATTTTATTTCTACTGCCATTTTCATTGTTTTTATTGCTGAATAAAAGATTGTTCTCATTATTTTCATTATTATTTATTATTATTAATATTAATATTATTATTAATAATATTATTATTATTATGGGATTATTATTATTATGGGATTGTAAAATACGAGAGTTGGCTGCAAACGTTCAACTCACTGTTTTTACTCATAATATTGATTTTATTTTTATTAAATTAGTTTTAAAGTTGATACTGCTGATTGGAAAAATTGCGAGGAACATGGCAGTGTTTTTAAAATTAAGTTTTAACAACGTTTTATATATTATTTTAATTAATTCAATTAACGTTGCATATTCAACAAAATGTCCTTATTGCGATAAAACATTCGCCAACGTTAAGAAACACACCTGGAGGTGTACAAGTAACACTGCAAGCTTAAACAATAACGCTGCACGCTCAAATGCAAAATCTAATGTAAGTATTTCTCCAAGCATCTACAGAAAAAATTCAGTGGACACCGCTTCAATAAACTTAGAGAACAATTTAATATTTTGTTGCTGTGGAAAGGGCTGCAAATGCCGTACGGATTTAATTATGCATCAACGCTCATGCAAAATGCATAAAACAATTCAACTTTCAGACAACCCAACAGACAACGTCAATAGCACAACACCAGCTCCAGATCAACAAACATTCCTCTCTGAAAGCCGTGAAGTACCAACATCTCCAGCGTCGCCAACGCCAGATAAAATAGAATCAACTCTTCCAGGCATCAAATTATCCAATCGTCAGCTCAATGGCTCGAAGCCAAGGCCTTTTTCCAGCTTCATCAACAATCTCTCCCAAACTACGACAACTTTGACGAGTTCACTCATGCCTTCCAACAAATGATCTACAAATATTTCGCTAAAAACTACGGGACCATTAAAACTCAAACAGTCAACAACTCTCACTCCAACAGTTCAATAAAACAACTGAAAAAAAGAACTGAAAAACAATTTAAGCTATTGGGTCAAAACAACCAGCGCTTTGACAATATAATTAGCAAAGCAAGTAAAGCGATAAGATCAAGAATAGCATCAAAAAAACATCAAAAGATGCACTCCAAACGAATGACATCAAAACTCAGCTCAAAAAACGATTTTGGCCTACATGTAAAAAAATATTCAACCAAACAACAAATCTGAAGCCACTTTTTAACGTCATCGAATGCAATAAATATTTTCATTCAATTCTCAACAATCCGCACCAAAAAAACATCAGCCACCCAACTGGGTTCCAAAATTACAACAACCTTCATCACCCTGCAACACCAGCCCTCCTTCTTATCACGAAATCTCGACAATAATTCGCAAATACAAGTCAAAATCTTCTCTATGTCCGTTTGACCAAATTTCTCTAATCTCATTCAAGAAATGCTCAATACACAATCTTCCACAAACCGCTGGTTAAATGCTGGACATCCTGCAGAATCCCAACTTGTTAGAGAAAGGGCTTCACAATTCCCATCTACAAAAAGGGCGACGCTCATGATCCATAAATTTCAGACCCATAACTTTGCAACCAACACTATAAAAAATATTTTCATCTTTCATCAACAACAAAATTTATAACTTTTTGGAAAAAAACGCATTTATCAACACAAACTTTCAGAGGGGGTTCTACCCTAAAGTTGATGGACTGACAGAGCACAATCAACTTCTTACTCACCTTCTCAACGATGCGAGAAAACACCAAAGAACAATAATTGTTTCCCTACTAGACCTTCGAAACGCATTCGGTAAAGTCAGTCCCAGTCTCATCTTATCAACTCTGGACTATCATCATATTCCCTCACATAGCAGCCTAATTAAAGACATATACACTAAATATTCAATAACTGTATCCGGAGCCGACCAACTAACATCCCCCATTCCAGTCAATCGAGGAGTGCTCCATGGAAATTCCGTGTTGTCACTGCTCTTTAACCTCTGTTTCAATCCCCTAATGAAAGTTGTTGAAAAAGCTAAATTCCAACAATGTGGATACATTTGGGGTTTCACAGCTAATTTGAAAACAAGAGCATGTTTGCAATTTGCAGAGGATACGGCGATTGTTGCTAACAGCACAGAAAGTGCACAAAAATTAATTAACTTAAATCAGGCATGGTGCACAGCGACTGGAATGACTTTGAAGATCGACAAGTGTTCCTCATTCGGGATGAGAAAACGAAACGGTGTTTACGAACAGTTCTCTCCGGTGCTGTCCATTAATGACAAACATATCCCTCAAGTTATCATTGGAGGCCACTTCGTATATCTTGGTAAATTGTACAATTACGAAGGAAACAACACAGAGGCCAAAAGCCAAATGAACAAACTGAAAACAATACTAGTAACTGTCACTAAATTAAAAACAACAGTACAACTAAAATTGAAAATATTAAGATACTACTTTCCATCACAGTTTGCATTTGAGTTTCGCGCCTACAACGTTTCGCTAACCTGGATTGAAACGTACCTGGATCAACTGGTTACCGATACGGTTAGAGCATGGTTGTCATCGCCAATTAGCAGCTGCCTATCAGAAAACTTGTCGCTCCCCAGTAAATCAGAAGGTCTAAACGTTAGATCACTCAAAAACTTTGCCGAATCGTTAAGATCGAAACTCCGAAACTATCTGAAGTCAAACGGCAATGATGAACTAAAGTGTTTATGGAGTGAGTCGTAAACAGCTACACAAAGATTGACAACTTGCTACCGGACACAAAGGATATCAAACCGACGTTCAAAGCGCTAATGACTCAACAAGAAAATGCAGAACTAAAACATTTGCTGTCGCTCTGCTGCCAAGGGACGCTTCTGAAATCGATTAAAGACCACATTTTCACGACTAGAATTGCTTACTGGTTAAAGTTCACTAAAAGTCTACCAGAGACCCTGTTCAAATTCGTCAGAAAAAGTCTCATCCAACAGCTCCCCACGAATGCTAATCTGTTTAGATGGGGGAAATCGTCAACTGCCCTTTGTCTGCTCTGCAATGCAAGGCAAACCAACAAGCATGTTCTGTCCAACTGCAACTCGATGGTGGCACTGAATAGATACACTACACGCCACGACAACATTTTGAACAGAATCGTAGAAAAACTAAAGTCGTGTGCGGGACCAGAGTTTTCAATATTTGCTGACACGAACTGCAAAGATATCAGCTCATTGTCGTATCTCTTCAAGACATTACGTCCTGACATCGCATTGCTCCGGGGCAACACAATAGAAATATGAAACTAACGGTCTGCCACAAATTGAACTTTCTTAACTCCAAACAATATAAAATATCTAAATATTCTAATTTGCATAATAATTTACTTGACAATTTTAAACATTTAAAATGAACACTTATGAACACTAATTAAAATATTAATGAACACTTTCGAAATTTCGCCGCTAGGCTTTTTTAAATATTTCAATTTGACATTAATCGACTTAACTTGGTCTGACCAATTTAACAATAGTCTCATGTACTCTGCAATATCGTCATCGTATGCCATTTATTGTGACAGAAATACTAATTGAATGCATCATTTAGAACTAATTCTTTCTTGTTGTATGCATTCTTCTTTAGGATGTCGAGCTTCGTAGAATATTTTAATTCTTAATTTTAAAACAATTTTACTTTTATTAAGTTCATTAACAATTCTTTTTAACGTGTGATTTATGATGAAAATAAATTGATGTTCCCATTATTATTATGCTATTGTACAAATATCTCTTTCCAGTTTTGTTCAACTTACTGATTTTTATTAAGTATTTTCGGCATTATTTCAAATTATTCAACTTTAATTGAGTTAGTTGGATTGTAAAAATCGCGGGAATTATGGCGGCACCAACAATCATTTGCAAAACAGCAACAACAGCGCCAACAGCTGCATAAATGTCTATGACAACAGCAACGACACGACCTGTAGCAATTATAGCAGCAACAACTCAGGCAATATCAGCAACAAAATCAACAACCACTAGACCAACAACGTCATCAGCGGCAACTACAACAACAATAGAAGCAACAAAATTAACGTCATCATCAACAACTTCGGCAGCAATATCAACAACATCATCGGCAACAACTATCTGAACAACTATAATATTAGCAACAACACTAAAAATCACAAGAAAACATTGTCAACAACAGCCTCATCAACAATTTCAACAGCAGTGATTCCAACAATAACATCAGTGTCAAATGCGGCAACAACAACATCTTCACCGGCATCGACAACAACAATATTAAAAACAACAATCATATCTACTATAGCATCGACAGTAGTAACAGTGACAAGAAAAAATCCAACAAAAGCGTCGAAAACAACAACGTCAACTACAATTCCATCAATAACATCAACGTCAATTACAACATCTGCAACAACATCAACGTCACACAGCTTCTTAAACTGTAACATCAAACCACCAACATTGTCGCAAGCCCTGCAACCGTTCTTTCAATTGAGTTATCGTCAACCATCTAAATCGCCTTCATCGCCACAACTCTAGCAATAATCAAATCGCTTGCTACTGCGGTAAATTTTGCAAAGGCTGGAAAAGCCTCAAAATGCATCCTCGATCATGCAAGGTCCACAAAACTTTACAATTATCGAATGTTACGAACGCAAGAGCAACAACCAATGTCGGCATCTCTAATAAATATCGAACTAATCGAGAAGCCTCTCCCAGGAGTCAAATTTTCAAGAAGCCCTGCGCAGTGGCCAATGCTTACTTTCAACTAAACTGTAAGTCGCTTCCAGCTTACGAAAATCTCAACAAGTTCAACTTAGCATTTCAATTAATAATCTACAACTACTTCGCTTCCAACTTTGGTACTGTCAATTCAAGAACATGTTCAAACGTCAACAGCAATAAAGATAGAAAATTTGAAAAAGAAATAAAACAACTTGAAAACTCTAGATCACAACAATCATCAATTTGTTGTTCAAATTAGCTCGGTTGCCAAAAAATTCAAATAAAAACAGCAAAATTTGCCGTTGGTTAAAAACAGAATTGCACTAATCAACTCAAACGTCGTTTTGATAGACCTGTAAAAAATTATTCACTCATTCAAACAAATCAGTGGACTCAAGCTGTTTGGATGAGTGAATGTCGGTTTGATGTTGACAACTGCAAAAACTACTTTCCATCCATTATAAACGACGACAATCTCATTAATCTCCAATTTCCACATCGGATTCCCAAAATTTCAAAGCCGACACCTTGCAACTTTAACCCTATTTTATATAACAATCATCCGCGGATGCAAAGCTAAATCATTTCCCTGTCCTTTAAATCAAACATCTATAATTCTTTTCAAAAAAATGCCCTATCCTTCGCACGATTCTTCACCAATTAATATCGAAATGTTGGTTATCTTTGTAAATTTCATCATGTTGGAAAAAAGGGTTTACCATTTTAATCCATAAAAAAAGAGTTGCCAACAATCTAGCAAGTTTTTGTCCGATCACCTTGCAACCCACACTATATAAAATATTATCAACAATAGAATTTTTAATTTTTTTGAAATCAACTTATTTATAAACAAAAAAACTTGTACCCCAAAGATGACGGCTTAACCGATCCTTCCCAACTCCTGACTCACATGCTCAAGTGTTCAAAGAGACATCAGCGCACAATTATTGACAGTCCGCAACGCATTCGGCGAAGTCAGCCACAAGGTCATCTTCTCCACATTACCACCACATTTTATCGCAAATGAGTAATTTAATTTATTTTATATATTCGATATACAGTATCTGTTTCAGGAAGCGGCTACGTTACTCCTTCGATACCAGCTAGACGAGGTGGTCCAGTCTCTCAATTAATTCTTTATCTATGCGTCAATCCGTTGATGAAATTAATTTAAAAGTCAGAATATCAACAAGGCGGATAATACAATCATCTCAAACAGCACAGACGGTGCTCAAAAATTAATTCAATTGAACCAAGCCTAGTGTAAGGCTACCGGCCTAAATATGACAATTGACAAGTACTGCTCATTCGTAATGAGAAAGAAAAATGGCGTGTTGAAACGAACGATCATTTTGAATACCTTGGCAGGATTTATGATTATTATTATTATAAAAGCAAAAGAGTTGATGATTAAAAAGCTCAAAAACATGCTATCAGTCATAAACGTGTTGGATATTCCGCTGAGGTGAGTTAGAGAAAGGCTGGATAACTTGGTCGCGGAGGCAGGAAAAAACTGGCTGTCATTGCCAATCAGCAGCTGTGTATCCGAATATCATTCTTTTTCAAATAGGGAACCTGCAAATCAAATCACTAAAAAGTTTTGCAAAATCATTTAGAATTAAACTTCGCAATCAGCTTCAATCTCACCATTACGAAAACATCAACTGCTTATGGAGTAAATCCTACAACAGCTACATTAAGATCCACAACATGCTTCTTCTTTCAAAAGATGTGAAATTGACACTAAGCGTTAAAGACTTGCCAACTTGCGAACAATGAATTTATTCCAGTATCATCTCTGTTCAGATCACTCCGCCCTAATATTGCTCTTCTTCATGGAGACGTGATCGAAATCCTGCCACGAGTCAAACTTCTTGAAATCAAAGAACTACAAATTATCTAAATATTCACAGAACCTCAATAACAACTTGATTGACAATATGAATTATTTAAAAATAATTATTAAAACTTTTAAAATCTCCGCTTTAGGTTTCTTCAAACATTTTCCTTTATCGCTTGTCAATTTAAATTGATCGGATCAATTTTACAGTAATTAATCAACTCTGCCATATCGTCGTCATATTTTTTTTTATTATTATTCTTTAAAAATCAGGATCTGACAGACGCAGAAACTGTAGCAACATGCAAGGCAATAAAACAAAATTAAACAAATAAGTGAGAAAATAAATACAAAAAGTGAGGAAGAAAAATGATAAAACATGAAAAATAAAATATGTTAGAATAAAATAAATAATAATAATAAAAAAGTAATTGACGATGGAATATAAAATGAAGTAACGGCAAATTGATAGACTAGATGATGACTTACTGAGTTAGTGAGGTGATCGATAAATAAAGGCTAGGCCTGTGAGTAAAAAGTTTTAATGAGTATTAATATGTTTGTTGACTTATTAATAGGCTAAATGATAACTTAGTGAGTTAGTGAGGTGATCGATAAAAGTGAGGTGATCAATAAGTATAAACTAAGTTCAGTAATGATAAAGTTTTCTTAAGTGCTAATATGTTTAAGGTGCCTTGTGATGAAGGTCTTTTCCTGGTATGTAGAAGGACGACGACTTGATAGTTATGTTTGCGCTGACGAAGGTTGTGTGTTGTAGTTTTGATTGGTGGTAGTAGAGGATGGATGACGTATACTATTTATACTCTTTGTTTTGACCGTAACTGCAGTTTAAACTGATTTTATTTCTCTTTGTACTCATTCATTTTAACTTATTTATTTTATTTATCATTTAATTATCGTATATCGCGCTAGTTATATTATGATTTTTTATATTTTTCATTGTCTTTTATAACAATAAAAGAGTTTATATTATTATTGTGTTAGCAACCGAACGAAAGATTTGATTGTGTTTAGCTTCTTCAACAGTAATTGAGATTTATAGACATTTCAATATTCATCATATTAACGATAATTCAAAAAAAAAATTGAAAAAGTACTTCGACTTAATCTCAGTTCAATTTAATTTTTAAGTAGTGTTGTAAGTTGTTGTAAGAAGTTATTCAATTTATCAAAATTTTACTGGTTTTTGATAGATAAACAAACTTCTTTAAACACAGATTTGTTTAAACGTTTATTTGAATGTCAACGGTAATAGAAAACTAAATAAAGAACAGCTAAACCTAGAAATAAGTTAATTCAATAATTTACAGCTCAACTCCATAATCCAATCAACTCCAACCTATTTATATCTGTTGTGTTTCTCATGTCTGGTATGTGGAACTGGATCGCTTTTCTTAAGATAGATTTTGTTTATGGCAATCGTACAATTTTGTGAGCCAACTTTCACATCTAGCCTAAGGTTATTGCAATTCTAGTGTAATCTAGAAACGTTTATGGGGTATTGGGGGGTGTTTGGCTTCCATAAGTTTCCCTAAATACTTGTTAGTGGCGGTAAACTATAACGCGGAATTACTGTCTTTCGTTTTATATTTCTCTTGTTATTGATAGCCATTGTTTCTTTCACTTTGTCTGCAAAACCGTTGTACATAGTTTTTTCAAACAATCTCACCATGTTGATATGTTTTTTCCTGGTTTTCTAGGCTATATTTTGATAAAAACACTCCTCGTGTAGTAGATGTACATTTGTATCTGTTTATGACGTTTGTTTTGCCGCTTTGAACATAAGGCCATATGCAACGGCATCTTGGAGGCTGTGTTTATTTACTAACAAGAAATCTTGGCAAAACTCTGGATTTTGCAAGGCTTAAATAGATCGATTCCAGCGCAGTTTCGATTTTATGATCCTGGTTTGACGACGGGTAGGATAACAAAGTCAGTCGTTTAAAATCTTTTGTATTCCTTTTCCTGGCCGTTGTGTTCTGTTCCGGAGTCTTTGTGATTTCTATACCTGCTTCATATGCTCTTTTTTATACCGTATGTTTAACGCAATAATCATCGTTGTCAAATTGAGTTGTTTCTCCCCATGGAATGTTTGCAGTACTTCTGCATCGAGGCTTGTACTAACGCTGTTGTAAGGTCTTTCTCGTTTCAGTTATTGTTGATTGCTGCTGCCTCAAATTGGTTTTTGTAAATTTTTCATGATGTTTCTCCATCAAAAATACCGGCGCATTTAGCATTTTTGATCAGTTATTATTGACTGTCGTTCTAGTTTTTTGTTTTCGTTTTTTTGTTTATTCATCCATTTTTTAAATCTCTTGTTTCGGCCATCTGTTGATACCAAAATAAACAATAATATAAACAATAATTCCATAATTCAAATATTTTACTAGGCCGAAGAGCACTGTCGTTTCCTCATTCTCACGTTTTATTCTCACCTCGAATTTCATCTATTCTCACATCTTCTTTCATTTTTTTCTAGGTCTTTCCTTCCAATATTTTTAATAATTACGCATTTTTATGAAATGGGCTTTCAATATTTTGTATTCTTTAATAACGATTCTGTTACATCTTAAGAGACAGCCCATTTACAAATTTGCCAAGCACCGTCGGCAATGTGGGATTTGATCAGAGGGTCGAAGTCGTTAGAAAGAGAATGGAAGTCTAGCTACTTGTCATTCATTTACAAAGTTCAGAGCATATCTCAATATCATAATGGCAAAATTCATAAAGGTGTGTCTTTGATTAAAACGGAAAAGGAACTGTAAAAATTGATCTAATGAACTTAAAAGCCGAGAAAAATATTAAGACTTAAACTTCTCGGACATTTAATGCCAATAACGCAATTTTAATAAGATCCCTTTTTCTTACGGGTTGCCGATGAAAAAATTATTAAATTATGGAGGCCTGATCTCCTTTTTTTAAATCACATATCAACCTAGCAGAAAAAATGCGCAACGCATTTGAACAGATTGTAACAAAGATTAACAAAAGTTCAGTCAAAATAAAAACAATTAACTAAACAATTCGTGAGCCAAATACTTTACATTATTTCTGGGTTGAATGCGGAAAAATCAGCAATGTAATATTAAAAAAATAATTTTTACATTTTTTATGTCTAGGGCGGCTTGATGGCCTAGTGGTTAGGGTAGCCTAGTGCTGTTTTGATGACCAGATTCGAATATGACTAAAAAATCTCCACCTATCAAATATTTTGCCTGTGATGCGTAGTTTCTTGTTTTATCAATGTAATTTAAGGCTAAACTGCAATTGGTAATTTATAATGTGTTGCATTGTCATTTGAATCTTGACAATAGTTTGTTTTGTTTACACCTATATATATCTGAAATTAAAAAATCTTTTCTTTTTAATTTAAATTTTTCTTTGAAAGGTTTATAAAGTCTAATATTGTAGTTGAAAGTTAAAAAATTGTCGATAAAATGATTAACGTCACACAATTTATTTTATTTTATTATTTTATATGTTAGTTATTTCAAAATAATTTTTAACTTAGTTTTATTTAATTAAAATTAACTCTATTTTGTTATTTATAAATGTAGGTAGGTCCTAAATTTCGATCCAGATCGTTAAAATTTCCGGGCCTTATATCAGGGTGTACAATAGATTGGTTTTCTGGCTGGCCCGAGGATGCACTATATGCCGTCTCGCATCATTTTCTCTCCGATCTCAACATGGTACAACTATTTCTTGTTATTATTGAAGAATAAGTTTCTAAAAAATAAATAATTTTGCGTTTTAAAATAATTTTTCCGTATTTATTTGTTAACGTTAACATTAGCATTTTTTATTCATTCTTAAAATAGGTCTCAATATTGCTATTTCAATAGTTTTGGATAGCAAACCAACAAAAAAAACACGAACAGTTTAAAATAGAAATTTCTCGTGTCCGTCTACTACTTTCACGACCCGGATTCGTATCCTGCAGTTTTTGCAGGTTCATCCGGGTAGCCGACCCCCGGCCAACCCAGCCGTCTATCCTCCGAGGTCGGTAAATTGTTCAAATGGGCGCTGAGTCAACCATTTCAATGGCTATCATATACTCAGCGTATATAATGCACATAAACGTCAGAGCTGCAGTAATAAAGATTTTAAAAAAACTTAATATTGAGAGTTCATTTATGAAACGCGAAGTCAATTTACGGGTTTCTATCAGTGAATTTTTAATTACAAATTTAATTCTGAACATGAGAAAAATAAAAAACTCATCACTGCTTGTTCTACGTTCCTTGGTAAGAAACCGAATTTACAATTAAATTTAAAAAAATCAAAAACATATATTAAATTAGGCAATAGATATTTTGACAGAATTTATTGTTTACTTAGGTTACATTGTAATTAATTTTTACTTGAGCGTTTAATATTTTATTCTTAAAAATCTGGTGTTTAATTTTTTTTCATTAGTTTTGAAAGTAAGATCTGTCGGATTTTCAAAGTTTTGCTTGAGTTTAAATATTATTAAAAAAAACAACTCAAGAAAACACTAAGTATATTTTAAAATATAAAACTGCTAAAGACATGACAATAGTGGTAACATAATAAAAGTTTGCTGCTGACAGACAATATTGAATAGATAGCTTATTGCCAAAAACTTCAATTATCGCCGATGGATGGTTTCATTAATACTTACCGATAAAAAATGTGAAGTGTTGGTAAAGACAACTCAAACTCGGTCTAATCTGTATTGACATGCGGTGTTCCGGAACACTCGGCACACTCTGAGTAATCAAAGCTATCTATTTATTATCTTGATTAAGATAATAATAATCATCTTAAATTTCTACAGTGTCAATAATTGAATCAGTTCCGGCAAGCAAGAATAGTATAAAATTAATAACAAAAAATCATGTTCGAATCAACGTGCATTCACGACCATTTTGGTGCACACACTTAGATATACGGAACAAGATTTGGAACAACAACGCAATTGTAAAATTTAATATTATTAGGCTTCTCTTTTCAATTTGTTGAAATCTGATTTTAATACTTAATATCTTACACAATTTTTCTAGACCCGTCGCTTCTGAGTTAGGTCAAGAATTGGTTTAGTTTGAAAAAATTTTCGTTCTAATGAAGTTTGTTTTTTACCAGTTTAAGTACTAAAGTCATGAGATTAATCAGTTTCTGACAGGGTTGGATAAACTTTCTGATGGTAACATTGAACATCAAATTTGTTTTGTTAAGCTGAATAACAAATGTCTAGGTTTATTTTGTTTTTTTTTCACTTATTTCACATTTTTTTTCACTAGCCACACAAACTGGCTGACGGGCGTAATCTATGGAATCGAATTGAACTTGGAATTTTTTGATTTGTGGTTTATGCGAATGCGAATATTACATTCAATATTAGTTTTGAGAGTGGTTGTCAACAGGGTTGCTTTATTTCATACTGTCGATAATTTCATTTTATTTATTTAATGTTATAATTAAGTTTTCTCATACGCGTCGTTAGCCAATTCTTTTTTATTTTCAATGTTTTATAACATCGGTTAATTTTTTAAGATTCATTCATTTTACAATAATGCATTTATTTTTAGAGATTTAGACCGAATTACGCTATTTTAAACGATTGTGTTCTCAAAACTTACTGCGAAATATAAAAATAATTTTGATATTTTAAGGTTGTTTCAAGGAAAGATACAAAAATACATGTGATAAGATGTATGGGAGATGTTCATAATATCGTGTCTCAAAGTTGTACATTATATTTTCAAAGGTTCGCTTTATTGTGATGCACGTGTGTATGTTTGTTTGTGTATGTGGGAAAAAATGTTAAGTGCACGCATGCATGTGTAAATATTTTATTTACTTTTTCATTTTTATTATGTTTATGCTTATGTGTGTATAGTTCTTAGGGTCGGAACTAGCGTATTTGCCAGAGGGGGGACGAAACCCAGTGTGCCGTCCCCGCCACGTTATTATTATGTTACAGTTGAACCAAAAAACATTTTCAAACATTTTCCCCGCTCTCTTTTTTAGCTTCAATGTCATCTAAAATATTGAAAATCAGCATTTTAAACATTTTATGAGTTATTTTCTAATTAAAAATTATTAATAAAATGTTATAACGTTTTAAATGAAGCTTACCTACATTCACAATTAGACAAATAAACTTAGGATGCAGCAAAACTGGTTGCTCGCAATGAAATATTAAAATCAAGAGCTGCACTAATTAAAGAAGAAATTAAATCTACTAACTCGAGAGGTCCATTTCTTAATCTCAACAAAATTCAGAATTTATAAAACGATCTAATCAACACTCAATAACAATAAGCTGAAACTTTAAATACATTTTTCATAGACAAGATCAAAATTATTAATGGGAATATCAACAATCATCTTTCTAGTGTTCAAATTTTACCTGCTTCTCACAATGCAGCTATAACTCTTGAATCTTTTTTAAGTTTCTAGTTAGTAACTCTCTCAAAAGTTTTAGAAATCATTGAAACTTCTTGCAAAAAAACTTCTCTTGATCTCTATCCTAATCAAGTTTTAATAAATTGTAGTGAAATATTATCAATGATAATTTCACAACTAGTTAATCTATCTTTCTCAGTAGGACTCTTTCAATTTATCCTTAAGATGGCACAAATTTTCCCATTATTAAAAAAACCTTACCTGGATTCAAATTTTCCTTCTAATTATAGACTAATATCTAATCTCTCCATTTTATCAAAAATAATTGAAAAGTTAGTTTTGAAGAGACTTTTGCCTCATCTAACATCTAATCTAATTCCACTATCAGTCTGCATATCGTGTGAATCATTCAACAGAAACAGCACTTATACATATTTTAGATAAAACTTTCAATTCAAGTGACAGCAAAAGCATCACTCTTCTGGCAAGCCTTGGTATTTCTGCTGCTTTTGATACCATGAAATTTTACTTAAGAGTTTTCCATTGGAAATGTTGCTCTAGCCTGGTTTAAATCCTACCTAAGAGATCGATATCAATTTGTCAAAGTTGACGATTTTTCTACTTCATCTATAATATTAGAACAAAGTTCTGTCATAGGCCCACTGCTTTTATCTGCCTACATTTTCAACAGTTTTACATACCTTTCCATCAATATGCTGATGGTACTCAATTGATTTATACTATTAATCCTCGCAATGCAACTCCTGATATCAATAATTTAACAACCTGTATTTCCTTACTTCATTCATGCTTTCTGCACTACAACATGAAACTTAATCCTTCCAAAAGTGAATTCATCAAGTTGAGTACATCTCATCAACTTAAGGCAATCAATGATATAGACAAAATTTACATCAATTCTACTCCAATCACATTAAGCTATCAAATAAAATCACTCGACGTCATACTCGATACAAGGTTAAGTTTTGATAAAGAGCAATTCCAAGAAAAAGAATCTTTTAAAATAAACTTGAATCTGATGAATGTAAACAAAATTGAAGAGAGGCAGCCACCAGAAGAGTCCAATAAAATAAAAGTTGTCTTGAGCAAGAACAAAGATGAAAATGACATCCAACAATCACAACAGCAAAATGCTGAGCAGAATGTTACCATCCCATCAGCAAATTCACACATGAACGATTATCTCCTTCTAGTTCTCTCTCTTCCTTTTCTTTTTTAACAGCAGCAGCAGCAAGATCATCACAGAAAGAGAAAAGCAGAGCATAGTTCATCGTCCTCACACACATCTCATTCTAGAAATTATTTGCAGCTGGACAGAATGTTGCATGAGAGGCCAGAACAAAATTTGAACCAGCAACAAAAACGGCAACCGCGTTTTCAGCAACAACGCCATCATCAACATCTCATGAAACAAGATAAATGTCAATCACATTATCAGCGACAAAAGCAACATCATTACGAGAAACAAGTTAAACACTAGCGTTATCAGTACCAACAACCACATCTTCAAAGAAGAGTAAAAAAATCAAATTCAACTCAAAAAACAAACATTTTTCTATTTGAATGGCTCCGTCTCTTGCGGGGGAATATTATGAAAATGAAATATCTCCAGCAATAGCAGTAACAGGAACCAACTTATTATTACCAAGTCGATTTTTATTCCCAGATTCAATTGAAGATATAACATCTAATCAAATCAAACTACTAGCAAAAGAAATGTTTAAACTTAATGACTACCTAACAACTAACAATCAACATCACTCTACCCCAAAAGCTTACGTACCAAATGACCTTTCAAACTGTAGTCACGTATGGTTAAGCGTAGATCGAGTACGTCGTCCACTGGAAGCACCATATACAGGCCAAGTGATTGAAAGTGATTGAACGTAACGATGAATACTTTAAAATTGAACTGTTACCAGGAAATTTTCAAAATGTGTCAATTGATCGATTAAAGCCAACTTGTTTATCATTACCTCTAACAGCCAAAATCATAATAAACAACAAGAATAGTTCGACAACGAACAACAAACTTTCTACAACAGATTCAACAAAACCAGCAACATCAGACACAAAATCTACTGAAATACCAAAAACAGCAACAACAACATCATGCGCAACAACACAAGAAACAAAACCGACGTCAACCAAATCCGAACCAACAACCCAACACTCCAGAAAAGGGAGGCGAATAACATTCAACAAACGAAATGAATATTTTTATTTTTAAACGGCTCCGCCTTTTGTGGGGGAGTATTGTAGGGATCAAACATTCATTTATAAACTCTCACATATAAATTATTATTAAAGATTATTGCAATTTCAATGTTACTTAATCTATGTTTATTTTTATGTCTTTGCTTCTCTCTCGATTTTTTTCCCTTTTCCCTGATAGATTGTTAAACAAAGATAATATTTTATTACGCCTGAATTGTGTTTGTTTTATTTATTTTAACTCACAACAAGGTGTCTTGTTAGTAACATAAATTCGTACTAACAAAACTATCATTTTAAAGCAATGTCACATCAGACCATTCCTAGCAACAACAGTAGCGTCTTCATTAATACGATGTCTGTCTGGTTTTATCTAAAATGAAAAACATCCTTACCAACAGTAAAATTAGAATATCGACAAAATTAAAACTCTTAGGGTGTTACATTTTTTCTGTGCTAACTTACGACTCTGAGTCCTGGACAATTTTTAAAGAAATGGAAAAAAAGATTAACGCTGCTGAGATGTGGTTTTTGAGAAGAATTATAAAAATTAGTTGAACCTCCATACTTCGAATGAGGTATTAAAAGAGTCTGGTTATGAAAAGAGGAAATTACTACAGATAATCTGACGAGACAGTTAAAGATTTTTGGTCACATCATGCGGAAGGAAAGAATGTAAAATACAACAACTACTGGAAAGATTGCAGAGAAAAGAGATCGCGGTCAAAAACGAATAACATTCGTGATGTTTTTGTGTCACTTGTTGAATATCACCACATTTCAGCTATTACAAAGTGTTAAAGATTGGGTTTTATAGAGGTGCATGGTCGTCAATGTCTTGAAAGGATAAGGCACGAGAAAAAAAGTTTTATCTAGACTAGACTATTGCAACAGCTTATATGGTATCACGCAACAACAAATGAATCGTCTTCAAAAACTGATGAACAAGAGTGCACGTATTGCAATGAACATAAAAGTTTCAGCACATCAGACTAACTCAATCAACAATCTGAGGTATCTTCACTGGCTTCAAGTCAGATGTCGTATAAATTTCAAAATTGCAACAATAACTATGATGACGTTACTAACATTACAGCCACTGTATCTAAGGGACCTAATTGTTCTGAAAAAATACCCAACAAATACTTTTGCTTGTCAAAATATCTAATAATAATCCATCAACATGCTTTAACCAACATCGCAAACCGTGCATTTCGTCATTCGTCATCATCAATTTGAAACACACTGCCTCACTTCATTGACTATTTAAAAAAAACTGAAAACTCATTTTTACATTTTGCTGGTGTAGCTAGTCATATTTTCATTTTTATTGTCTATATTTTAAAGTAAATTATTTTATTGATGGTAGTTTTTATTCTTTATGCTCATCATAGAAACATTTTTATAAATCTATAACATATTACATCTATTTTCTGGCAAAGAGCACTTCAGTTGCTTGTCGTCATCATCAATTTGAAACACACTGCCTCACTTCATTGACTATTTAAAAAAAACTGAAAACTCATTTTTACATTTTGCTGGTGTAGCTAGTCACTAAATAAATTATTATTATTATTATTACTAACATTAGATTTGTTGAATAACGTCTCTAATTTTGGCGTTAGTGACGGTATATCGCTTTCTTTTTTCATTTTTCTACTTTTCTTTAGCAATTTTTCTGTATTCGGCTCCACTGAGTTTTTTTTCTGCCATCCATATTTATTTCCAAACACGAAAACGAATAAATTAAATTATATATTTTTGCAGCGTGAAACTAATTCAAAATGGCTTCTCTGCAAAACTCAGATAAACAAAAAATTACAAATAAGATAAAGTTTCATCTTTTAATATTTACATTTATATTTTAATGTTAATATAAAAAAACTTATAAGTGGAATAAAAAAACTGATACAAAAAAATCTAATTTGCTTTGATCCAAATTTTGACAAGTGTGAATAACTTTTTTAAATTTTTTAAAACTTTTCAAAATTTGCCGCCCTTGAAATTTGCCGCCCGATGCGCTCTCTTTCTTTGTCCCCCCTCTAGTTCCGGGCCAGATAGTTCTTGTCATAGATGACTCGATGTAACAGCCTCTAGATATGATGTTTTGCAAATAAACTACAAATAATATAGTAGGCACTGCATTAAGCTCTCGCTTGTTAAACGTACCTTTGTTTATTTGTGTTGCACGTTGATTTATAATCCTGTAGAGTTTTGATCATCGTTCATTTATTGAAACATTTGTATTGTTAATTGTTAGTTTTCTTTTTTTAAATAATTCCACATTGTATTCAATATTTTGTTTGTATTTATATATAAATTGTGAATAAATGCTCGGCTTAAGGACGACGCCTACCCATCAAAAAATCTGGATTTTCGCGCTAGATGGGTACGTGCTAATCTTCGTAGAGATTATGATTCAAACAACCAATCCAAAATTTGTTCCTTCCACTTTGATTAATCAGATTTCGTAACATATTCTGGTGATTGGTATGATGAAAATTGAACCTAACTGTGGAAATCGCCAGTACTGCTATGAAGAGACAAAAATAAAAGTTAGAAGATGCAGTACCATCAAAATTTTAGAATGCACTTTCATATTTGTCCACTCCAACGCAACAACCTCGATCGACACCAAAATGTTTATTAGGTACTCGTTGCGTATTCGATCTTGAAAGGACAGAAAAAGCAGCTGAAGAGTTCCTTGAAACTGATTTTTAGACTAATTGTGGATTGAATGACCTAAAGCATAGATGTCTTGATGTAACATTTATCCGAAAAATGTACTTTTCCCTCAAAATTATGAATTAACATTGCATCATCAAGTAGTCAAACTTTGTCAATTAAATACTGTTATTGTTCAAATAAAATTTATTGGTCTTAGCAAGCATGGGAGAAATTATTCTTCACAATTAATAGTATAGGCTTATTTAATTTATTCATCAAGCTCCTCAGCATACACAAAGTTTATTGAAAGTAAAGCTTTGTGTTTTCCACCAATAAGAACTTTGATATAAGTTAATAGACTGGACAATGCTTGTTACTTAATTCTATGTTTAAATTCTCTTAATCAGTTACAAAGAACTTGTTTTTTTACAAGTGTATGTTGCAAAGTGAGTCGAATTCAGTGGAAGTCAATTGTCAACAGATGGTGAAGTGGCCAGTACATTGTTATGCTTCATGGTAAAATCATAATGCCATTAGTATGAAGATATGGTGGCCGTATATCTCATAAATAATCTATCAGCAAATCAATTATTTGTAGTTTTTTTGCAAGACAGACTTTTAGCAGCCGAAATAAATTGTCTGAAACAGATCACGGGAGTAAGTAGATTCCAAAAAACAAGAAACGACAACATCAGAAAAAAAAACTTGGTGAAGAGAGCAACATAATATAAAGAATCGGAAAAAATTAACTTGGTTTAGAAATGTAAACAGGATGAACTTAGAAAAACCATAAAGGCCTTTATTCAATCGTATAGAGGGTAAGAAAAGACATGGACTGGCAACATCAAAGAAGACTTCAATTTTAAAAAACACAGAAGTCGGAAAAATGACAAAAGATAGAAGAAGATGGAGGCTCTTTGTGACCAGCTATTGCCGCTCTGGGCCGGTAGACAGCAGATGATAATGATTGCTTAACAAGACTAATGCGCGCAAAATGGCCAACTAAGCAACATGAGCGTTTAAAGGTTTTATATCTAATGGCTGTTACATCGAGACATCTATGGTCCTTACGTATGAAAATTTTTATTATCTTTTGTAACAAATATTTTCTTATCCATTTCTTGATAGATTTCGTCGTCAGACACATGTTACTCCTAAATCATTTCTTGGTTTTGTTGCTCGCTACAAAGATCTTTATACAAAAAGATTAACTACAATTCAAGAAATGGCTAACCAAATGTCAATTGGACTTTCTAAACTTGATGAAGCAACTCTTTCGGTAGACATTTTAACAAAAGAATTGGTAGTAAAGGAAAAAGATCTAAATCTTGCTAATATTAAAGCTGACAAGGTTGGTTGATTTCAGATTTTGTGTTTTTTTCGCTCTAATGTATTAAATATTTTAAAAAGCTACTGTTGAAATTACTATTGAACTTATTGATATCTGAAATAATTAAGTTGAGTTTACAACCTAATTTTTATCAAATCTGTAGAATTTTTATCCCAACCGCTTCCACCACGGCCGTCGCCGCCTTTTTCAGTTATCGCTAGAGAGTTGGTAGTCAGCGTAGTGGCGATCGTACACGCTACCGCCCGCTCGACACCGCACATTTTCTTCGTGTAGGAGTCACTTACCTGGCCGTGACTCGCCTCTACAACATCTTCCGACCGAAGGGTTGGACAAATAGACCGGCCTTTCCGTACGCTCGCAAGTCTTCCGTCAAGCGTCGACTCATGTTTTATTTATTATGAATAAAAGCGCTGTATTACAAATTAATTCTTGAAAAATTTTGTTACTCTATATTATAGTTAGATTATTCAAAAAAAACTTACTAATTAAGATGTTAATAAATTATTATCATAAAAAATGATCAAACCGTATTCGTATATTTAATATTATTATTATTGTTACTATATTAAAATTATCAATATTATCAATGGAATTTTACCCAAAACTGGATGAATTGACTAAAAACACCCAGATGTTGAGGCGATGCCCTACATTATATAAGTATGGAGTTTTTCTTTAAAATAAGCTTACAAAATATAGCTTCTTCTATCTATGGGAGAATTAATTAAAGCACTGCTCTTTGCGGTGGCATCACGTTGGTCTACGATGATGCTAAAAAATTCTAAACATGTGTATCATTTGAATTAAAATATTGGTTAAAACAGCGCAAGCTACTAAATAGCGCCATAATCGTCACACTCGGAACGGAAAATAAAGCAATTTGTTTAAGAAAAAAACAAAACTGTTTTAAAACAAGGATAAGACGTTTTTCTCTAACGTAGAACTTTTTTAGTAATTGTTTTAATTCTATTTTTGATTCATGTTCTTTTTCATCTAATAAATTGAATATATTAAAAACTTCATCTCACTTTTATAATGTTAATATATTAAATTTTAATTGTAGAAGTTTGATAAACAAAATTGATAATATTGATTCACTTATAAAATCAAACAATTTTTACTTTGATACCGTAACACTTACAAAACTCAATATTAGTTTTTATTTAGAAATTTGCTAAATTACAAAGCTTCATTATAAATTATTATCTTAGATTTTATTTTTAACAAGTTTTATGTATATATATATGAATTTATTCACCACTATTTTGCATATTTGGACTTTTAATATTTTCATATTATTTTTATAACATTTGATTTAATTCATCATATTTGCATATTTTACTTTTGAATATTATTTTGTGTTATTTTTTTTCTTCCAAATTTATTTGACAAAAAAAAGTCAGGAGATCAAAAAAAGTAACAAAAGGACTTGCGAAGACCACCCATGACTAAAATCAAACAAAAAATAGTAAAAAAAAACAAAAAACAGAAAATACATTCATATAATTAGTTAAATACATTTAGCAACCACGTTAATAAACAAATACATTGCATAAAAAAAGTAAAAAAAGTACACAACATATGAAGGTCATACATAAACACAGTCAATTAGCATGCCCATATGTCATTACAGCGTCTTTTGCACATAGCTTAAATCTCTTCAAAGACAGATGTGTTTGACCATCCATGGCCAAATCATTCCATATGTTTGGACCCCTTTTTATCCAGCTACGCTGGTAGGTGGAAGTTTTAAATTTTTTTAACAACAATTGACCCGTTGCCTGGTAGTTGACTGAACCCTATCAAAAAAATTTAACTGCTCATAATCTTTATTAATAAGTATTTTATAAACAAATACCAGCAGAATAAAATTATGTAATTGTTCTATTCTAAGAATTTGATGGTTACGAAACAAGTCATCAGTATGATCGCGAAAGTTCAAAGAAAAAAATATTCGCATAAAACGTTTTTGCATCACTAAAACTTTATTGATCCAATATTTACTGGCGGATCCCCAAAACACATATAACAAATGTATAATATAAAACATATTCCATATAACAAATGTGGATAAAAAAAAGAATAATAAAGTAAGATCATTGACATGACATTCAACCTGTCTCTCACTCTAAACAGAATCCCAACTGCACGGTACAGCCTATGGACGATCATGTCGATGTGCTCATTTCATTTCAGATCACTTTGTATAACAATTCCCAATTATTTTACCAAATGAACCCGTGGAAAAGCTATGCCCTGGATAATCAGCTCCAAGCCACTCAGGGGCACCTTGTTCGTTTTTATCGAGGGACCAAAGATGACATAACAAGACTTGGATATATTCAGTCAGCCGATTGGACAAAAACCAATCATAAATCACACTAAGCTGGCTATTCATCTCCGTAAATAAGTCCAGCAGGCTTTTACCTGACAAAAAAATACTGGTATCGTCAGCAAATAACATCTAAGTGCATCTATCGGATACAGAAAAGATATCGTTCACAAATATTATAAACAACAAAGGTCCCAATATGGAACCCTGAGGCATACCTGTTAGAATCCTTAAAGGGGATGACACAACATTGTCAATAGAAACATACTGACTACGATCAGTTAAGTAAGATCTGTACCAATCAAGAACAATTTCACGAAACCCATATTTAAACAATTTTCGAAGCAAAATTTCATGGTCAATCACATCAAAAGCCTTTTTCAGGTCGATAAAAACACCTAAGCTGAAATTATCTATATCAAAGTTCTCCAAAAGAGACAAGTGAGACAAAAGAGAAAGAGACAATGGCTTTCTCAGTAGAGGACTTCGGAACAAAACCGTATTAATGTTTATTAATCACATTATGTTCAATTAAAAAACTGAAATGGTTAATGAGAAGTTCAGAATAAGAGTAGAAGCTTTAGCCTGTGGTTTTCTCCGTAGGCGTATCTGATCAATTGAAAACTACGAGTTTTTTCTACAGCTGTCAAAGTTGCTGAGCAGCTCTGTTCAGGGCCATACTGCTTATTTCAGATTAAGCAGGATCCTAGAACAGTAAATTAAAAAATAAATTATTTCTTTTTTTGTACCGTTAACCGCGATTTTTGTTTTTTCAAGATTATTGACGTAATTCCGTTGCTCAAAAAACTAGATGATTTGCAACCTGGAATGTGCTATTTAGAGAGAAAACTATTGAACATTCTACTCAAGAAACTGTACTTGCTGCTGAACTTAAAAGATACAAAATTGACATTAATGCATCGCCTGAAAATAAATACTACTTAATAAATAAATGTTTATATTATTCAAAAGAAAAAAATTAAACAAAATTATTGATTAATAACAAACCAATTTTCAATTTATGAAAACTTTTTTAATCACAATCATCTAGCAATTTATTAAATATTATATATACCAATAAAGGTTTTAGCTGAAGTGACAGAAAGTACCAGAGCAGCTGAAGAGGTGAAGGCTGGAGTTTTAGTAGTGAAAAATCGGGCAGAATTAATTGTTAAAGAAATAGGAAATGAAAAAGAAATTGCAGAAGTTAAATTGGAAGAAGCCCGACCAGCACTTGAAGAAGCAGAAGCTGCATTGGGGGTTGGTGATAAGTTTTTCATTAAAGCATTCAATACCGCAAACTTTTCACATTAGACTAATATATAAAAATATTTACGATTATTTAATTAAAATATTAGTTAATTAGACCCTACAGCTTACCTCTTAACGTGAATTTTCTGATACTACGTATGTTTCTGTATCAATTTTTGAAACCAAAAGTCAGTACTAAAATTTCAAGTTCTGGTTCCAGATTGACATCGAGAACGTTTTTTCCAAATTATAACATTTGATACCGTATTAATAAAGTAATTTTTTGCTGCCGATATACTAATAGTTTTTTCACTCCAAATATTAATATCAAGATTTCCGATTCTTGTTCCGTTCCTCTTGCACATCAAGGAAATTAAAAAATTTCCTTACATTTGTTTGTTTTTTCGTTTCGTTCTGTTTACATCTATCATCTTAAATTTCAATAGTCAAATAAATAAACACGACTTGTCGTTGTTTTGAAGTGACTTGCATCAATCCACAACATCAAATTCGAAATAGCATTGTTTTTGAAGCCATTAAGGTAGAGAAAATCACATCGTTTCAATATCTAGGGGATGTTCTGAATTGTACTGGAACAGCTGAAGCTGGAATAAATGGCATCTCCTTGCTTCTGTGATACGTCCGGTTTTGTTATATGGTATAGAAACATGGCCAATGACAACCAAACTGGAACAACAACTTCAACGAACCGACATGAAATTGCTTCGATGGATGCAACGAATTAGTCTGAAGGACCACATCAAATCTACCGAAATCCTGCGTCGTGCTGGTTTAGATGATATAAAGGCCAAATGCCGGCAACACCGTCTGCGGTGGTTTGGTCATGTCAAACGAAGTGGAAACAGTGCCATAACTTTTCTTGCAGATGTTGAAGTACCTGGCACACGTCCCAAAGGCCGTCGTGGTCGCAAACAATCGAGTAAGACATGAAAGCTCTAAATTTAAATGAAATGGATACAACTGATCGTCTACTTTGGCGTAAAAAGTTGATGGCAAAGAAAACAACGTCCTACCTCGGGGAACCGGGTCTCTGGACGCAAAACGAAGATTGATTGATTGATTTAAATACTGAATTTTGACCAAGTATTTGCAGTTAAAAAAATTGTTTTCCATTTAAATAAGTTAAAAAAGATGATAAAAATACGATACGAAATATTGAAAAAATGAACCAGAAACTGACCAAAGCTGAAAATGCAGTGATGTTTCTTAACAATTTATATATAAATGTGTCATTGAACATTATCTTAACATACACATACTCAGATGGAGACAAGATGGAAGCGCCTGGCAAATCAGCAGGATGGACAAGAAATGCAGTAAAAGAAGAGAAAATGAGAGCAGATATTGAGCACGAAATGAGACTCAAAAAATGAGACAAGCAGATTAAAGAAGAAAGGAGGAGAGAAGATATCAGACACAAAAAATTAAATTTGTTGTAGGTGCCGCTTTTACAGCTCCTCACCTAAAATCCTTTTTTTCAAAAGGTTTAAATTGCATTGGCATTTAATTTGTAAGGATAAATTCCAAAACTCAACCACAAATCAACACACTGGAAAAGAACTTACAGACGACAAATAGGAACTTGCAGCATTCCTCAAATCAGCTTTAACAGATGTTCATGTACGTGATGACTACCGCGAAGTGCTGGAGAATACTTTAATATTTCTCGGCTGGGAGACTAGTGGGAGACGATTTATGGCTTCTGGAACGATGCACCAAAAAGGCGGATATCCAAGATAATTTACACCTTTAAAGTTTAATGTTTAAGTTACAATTTTTATTTTCTAAACTTAAAGAGCAAGGATTGGGTGAATTGTGCATTTTTTTTGCCAAAGTGTATGTGTACAATTCAGCACCTCTTTCTGCTGCTACACCCAACAAACGATCTTCAATTTTTGAGGTCCCTTCTATCATACAATTCAATCAACGAGAAAATTTCAAAAGCAACGCCAACCAAGCAGGACAAACAAAATTGGACACTTTAGATAAAGTACCAATTATTTTTAACAACATTTGTGACACCACTGGTTACACTGCTGACACTTGATTGAATTGTTACCTACAAACTGAACAGCTTTACAAACTGAACAGGGCCATCGTCCAGTAGCTGTGGATTGGATGAGTGTTCATTGCTTTGGTTTTGCTGATGTTGAATTTGAATCCATGATCGGCGAGTCTGGTGTTCCAATCTTCTAACATCTGTGATGCATTCTGCTCAGACGTGGCTGTTAAAACGATATCATCAGCATATACTAGATTCCAAATGTCACCAGTGCGTATCGGTTTTGTAATTTCTTCCATCACAGTTATAAATAACAGTGGACTGAGAATCGAGCCTTGGTGAACTCCAATGCCGATGTCAAATGCATCTGTGTTTCCAACCAAGATTTTCTGGAATGAGTTGTCGACGTAGACTCCACCTGATTGCTTCACGGGGAACCCGATCAAATGCTTTTTCAAGGTCTACAAAAATGTTTGATAGTTGTTGATGCTTTGCAAGGTACTTCTTTTGCAGTTGCCGAAGGATGTGAATTGCATCAATTGTTGATATTTCCACGCTAAGAAACCAAATTAATAATTTTCGATTGTGATGCAGGACGTTAATTTTCTTGCAATTATTTTCTCGACAATTTTCAGGGAGTGTTCTAACAGACGTATACCCCGACATGATGAACATTTCAATGGATCAACTTTGCCTTTGTATAGCGGAACCGTCATGCTATATTTCAATTCAGTCGGCTTTGAGCAATTTCTCCACACTTCACGGCAAAATTGTTGTAACGGTTGGATACCTGCTGTACCAGATGCTTTGATAATGTTATTTGTGAGTCCAGAGGGCCCTGCTGCTTTTCCATCTTTCATAGCTATCAGTTGTTCAAGAATGGCAAACGTCTTCGGCGGCGAAGGACGACCTAACACTACCCCAGTGGGAAGAACAAATTGTTGTCTAATTTGAACAGTGACTCTGTATTATAAATATAAACGTCAGACCTAAATTTAATTTTGCTTTTCTTCTCCTTTTGTCTGTTATTGGTTGAAACACGTGTACATTGCAATCTAAAATTATTTATGGAGCGCTCAACTCCTGACAAGTCAGAGAGATTTGCAAAAAAATGAAAACTGGTGAACTTGTCCAAGTGTTATATAGAAATTGTGGAAAGTAAAGATTTAAGTGGTTAGTTTAAAGTCTGGTTGACTCAGTTTGTCGTGGAAAATGTTGAAAAGAACCCTTATACCGTTATACTAGTTATACTAGAAAATGGTTTGGTCTGCCTGCGGGTTTAAAGGTTAAAAGTCAATTACACTCTTTCAAAGTTCCGAGGATTCAACAAAGCGCACAAACATCGTATATGAATACATGCTAAACGGCGCATCACACACAAAGCATGTGAAAGGCGGGGATCTTTTTATCATATCCAAACCCGGTTACTACGAAACAGCACCTGACGACCTTAACCATTAAGCCATCACGCTGCCAAGTTAGATTTAGCATGGGCTTTACAGACGTAGTACGGGTTTGAAACAACCTTTTAAGTCAGTGGTTGACGAATTCAAATGCATCAGAATAAAATTTCAATAGATACTTGTAAACTTGCGGATCAGTGTTAAACTGCTGTTGAAAACAAGGAAAAAATGGAAAGCCAGAAATTAAATAGACATAGCAAAATAGTCTTTGAAACTCAAGGAGATTGTTGGATATATGATATAGACTGGTTTCAATATAGGTGGTGGTCCAAAATCAACAAAAAAAAAACAAAAAGTTAGATGATTATTTAAGAATGACGTAAGGAGTATGACAGGGAAAGGTTGAAGGCATCAATGCAGCAGAATCGGCAAGGCAGATGTTTGTCGTGAGAAGATATGTTGCAGAAAAAGATCAGTTTGAAAAAAAGTTTGAATATGGCTTCTCTCTGCTTAGCTTTCTTTAGAGTAATATACGACCTGTTTCCAGCACAAGCAAATTTGGTTTGATGGAATTTGTCGGCACTGAACAAATTTACACTCTGTGAAAAATACGAGACACTCACGCACGTTTTGTCATCATGTCAGTACGCTCTAAGCCACGGTCGGTATGCATGGGGCCACAACAAAGTTTTGAAAAACGTGGTGGAAGTAGTTTGTTCAGCATAATTAGTTATTACTCTAAACTTCTCGTTTCAGGAAAGCAGAAGGTCTATTTACTAAGAGAAAGACAAAGCAACGACGTCAAATGTGATCTAATTAAAGATGATATATTTAAAAAAAAGCCAATGATTGGGTTGTGTACATAGATTTGGAAGAAAGACGGAGTTTTTCAAAGTACATCAAAGAAACAGGATAAGAGCTGACGTGATGGTAGCATCTGAGAATACAAATTCAGTTATTGATATTGAACTAATTTTAGTACAAAGATAGCCATGATTTAAAAATTGCAAAGTTTTTTTTAGTCTTTATTATTGCAACTCTGACATACGCAGAACCACTTACAATGTTAATAAGTGGTATATCTTTTATTATGTTTTTCAAACCCTCATCTATTGATTTGATACAGCATGTTTAAAGAAAGTTATTAGTAGTGCAGAGCAAGCTTCTTATTGGTTGTGGTTGAATAGAAACAAAAACATGTCATCTAAATTTGCAAGCCACGTTGTATGTAAATTTAAAGCTGAAATAGTAAATCACGGTTGCGTGCTTGGTGTAGTTCAAGAATATCTAAACGATAGTAAATCCAAGGACTTGAATAAATTGGGTGACAGAGATGTGTAGTTTGCCCAAAATATGGAATAACCTTTCAATAAGATTAAAGGAAATTGTTCCAGAGGAAGTTTTCTGACGCGAGCTAAAAAGTCAAGCAGATAGAAAGACACAAAAACACGCAAACAATTTCTTTTATTTATATATTTAGATTAATTTTTCAATTTAGCAATTTTTTATAAACACGTTGATTATTCACAAATACTGCATGTTAATTAAGTCATAACTCGCAATAAAAATGTTTTTTAGTTGTCAAGGATGTTTTTTAGTTTTTTCAGTAATGGTGATATATATTTAAATTAATAGACTATTAAAGCAAGTCATATATCTACTGTAAGAAAACTAGCAAAGCCTCCTCATTTAATAATGCGAATTATGGATTGTGTTCTAATTTTGTTGCAAAAAAAGTTGGACCACATTGCACCAGATCCTGAAAGAGCCTGCCCTAAACCTTCATGGCTGGAATCGCTGAAGGTTTTTTAACATCCTATTCTCTTTCCTATGAGAGGTTTTATTATTATTTTATGTTATATAGCTAATGGGAAATCTAGCATTTCTAAATTCACTGCTTCAGTTTCCAAAGGACACTATCAATGAAGAGGTATTAAGTTCATTTTTCATTTATTGTTTTTGTTACGTCACGTTGTTATGTTATGCCTAGATGTGTTTTGGGGTGTTATATAGAAATTGGAATAAATTTATGAAAAAATCTATAAAAAATGTAGATTTTTAATTTTAATAATGCATAACAACATCTCAAAAATTAAACATTTTTATGTTGAAACTCTTTTATAAATAAAAACAGAGTATAAATATATTAAAAAACAAGAAAGGTACTAAAAATTATTATGTAGAAATTGCAAAAAGTTGATTCTGTTGACGAAATTAATTGAGCAATGAGATAGTTGAAATACTGAAATGTTCTAGTTGAAATGTTGTTTTCATAATTGTCTTTTTAGTCTAATAAAAAGGAAGTGTTAATTGACATTGAATTAAATTTTGATATAGATATTTAAAAATTGTATATAGGATTTCTTATGAAATATTGATTGTTTTAACTTTAATATTTTACTTTCTTTTCTGAGATATTTAAAAATTTAGAGATTTATATTATCTAATTGACAATTAATAATATTATTAATGCTATTCTAAAAAAATTTTCAGAATTTCAATCATGTCATCTCAATTATATAACCGAGTTATTGATAATTACATTATGGGGAAAACAAAAATAAACTATAATTACTTTTTACAAAAAGATAAATGAGAAATTTTAATAAAATCATAGTTAAATTTTAGTTAAATTTTAAATTGAAAAATATCGTTGAATTTTATATTTCTTAAGATTTAACCAATATATGCAATATGCAATTAATATGCAATTGCGACAATAATTAACTTATTAAAATTTTAATATTAAAAAGATAATTGACTTGCTTAGTCCATACTTGGCCATGGAGGATTTCACACATGAAAACGCAAAAAAGGTTTGTGGAGACGTTGCGGGATTAGCTTCATGGATAAGAGCCATGTGTTCATTTTTTGCCGTAAATAAAGAAGTCCTACCGTTAAAGGTGTTTGCATTAAAATTTATTTATTTTTATACATTTCTCAACTATATTTCAATTGTTAAGGCTAATTTAGCCATTCAAGAAGCTAGGTTAGATATGGCGACCAATGAATTAAATGAGGCTCAAGCTCAGCTTGATGAAAAAGAGGCAGTTCTTGCCAAAGTACAGGCTCAGTATGATGCAGCTCAAAACGAAAAACAGCGATTACTTGATGATGCATTATCCTGCAAAAAAAAAATGGAAATTGCTTCGGTATTGATCAGCCGCTTAGGAGGAGAACACATCAGATGGACTAATCAAAGCAAAGAGTTTGCTGCAGAAATTGAAAGGTTAATGAATATTAAAATTCACTTTTATTTCAATTAGAATTTTCATTTGTCAAGTGTTATTTTTCTAATAGAGAAATTTTTTTTCTAATTTTAAATAACTGATGTCAGTTTCACTCCGACATCGCCTTCATCCAAACCTCTTTTTTTCTGTTTTAGATCATCCTTTTTTTTATTTTTTTTATATTATCATTCCATTTTAATGGGATCATTATTAGACACAACCATTTTTGAATAAATTAAACAATAAAATCGACAGGATAAACCATATAAACCTTCATGAATGTTTTAATAAAAATAATGAATAAAAATAAGTTTGTTTCCAACATTTGTCGACTAAGTATTTTTCTTTAAATTAAAAGATTGAATTAGTTTTAAATTCTGTTGATCAAATAAAATTTAATTAGCATTTGAAAAATGAAAAGTATAAACTTGTTAAAATAAATTTTTGTTGAAATAATTTTTTGGAATTAAAAAAACAACATAAAGTTGCTACAGAAAGTTATTTGTTTATTATTTCACCGGTGCCTATATATCCTAATAAAACACAATGCTTAAAAAATAAGCCACTTAGACAGTACATTCAATCATTCATTCATTCATTATTAAATAGTTTTTAGACTTTGTTGAAGGCATTTGCCAAAACGGCCGTCAGCCAAACTTCAGTTTTCAAAAAATTGAACTGATGAAACTTTTTATTGATGAAAAGTTGTACAAAAAACTCATAAAACACAAATGATGGATACAATGATATAATAATTTATTATAAAAACTTTACGTCCACGTCATAATAAATAGATGAACAAATATTAAGTAATATAGACATAAAAAAGTCAAAACTTTCGATGACAAATTACTATGCAAACAACAGAACTGTTTTTGTTGTTCTTAAAAATGATTGTAACATGAAAAAAAAGTCAATAATGAAAAGAAGTCGCCTGATATATTCCTTTAAATGTCCCATCGGTAAATCCAAAATATATCGGATACACTACTACTTCAAAGGCTCCATCAAAGGTGAAAAAAAACCCAAAATATTTGTGCGTGATCAACATAAACTAAAATATTCAAATTTAATGTTTATCAGCAGGAAATAAATAAGTTTTTAATTCTTTTTTAAATGTCACAAAATTATATCCGGGTCTTCTTAATGGATATGGTAGGTCATTCCAAACCGTCGGACCCGAGACCGTGATATCTCTTGCACTTATTTGTAGATGCCTAGCTGGAACTGCCAAAAGATTTATATTATGATGCAGATGACTTCGTGAAAAATTTATCTGAGATGTAAGCCGGTGATATTCCATTCAAGGATTTGAACACAGTCACTGCAACATTAAAAATTATTCTTTTCTCAATTTTTAACCAGTGAAGTTCATTCAATATTGGCGTTACATGATCAAATTTCAATTTTCCAGTTAAAGTTTTGTAGCCCTATTTTGAACTGACTGAAGAATGGCAATTAATCTACCAGGCAAGTTATAAAACAAACGTTGCAGTAGTCCAGCCGTGATGATATAAACGCATGGACCAGATTTTCTAACCTTATCTAGCAACTGTCTAACTCGGTATAAATTTTTTAAATGAGTAATGCTGGAAACTGAAATCATCTCGATGTGGTCTTTCATGGACAGTCTATCATCCAGCAACACCTCCAAATTAGAAGCTGTTTTACTGAAAGATATATTTACATCTCCTACTTTGATTGAAGTGATATTCATCTTTGATAACTGTTGCTATGTCCCAACAGGGAGGAACTGAGTCTTACATTGGTTTAACTTTAATAAATTATCTGACATCCAACGGCCAACATCTGACATACATCTGCTGAATCTGTTCATCTCGTCTGCAATTGAATCTGGAGAACTGGTGATCAGCACCTGAATGTCATCTGCAAAAGCATGACAAACGAATCCGTGAAAACTAATTATTTTTATTATATCCAATGTATAAAGCAGAAACAGGATGGGTTCCAACACAAATCCTTGAGGCACTCCCAATTGGACCAATGATACATGTGTTTTTAAATGCAACCCGTTGTGTACTATTCTTAAGATATGACCTGAACCAGTCATGGGCAACTCCAAGAACACCATAACTGCACAGCAATCTCTTTAAAAGTATTTCATGATCCACACAATCGAATGCTGATGACATATCAAGGAATGATAGTACCATTATGTTTTGAACTTCAGTTGCAGCAAACAAACTTGATAAAACACAACAATGCAGAATTTGGTTTATTTGTTGATAGGGTTGTTCCTTTTGTACTGGTGCTGTCTGGGCGCCATCATGTTGCACCGTGGTTTGATGATGATTGCAAGGCTTCAAAACGAAAATCTAGAAAAAAAGAAAGAATTTTTAGAAAAAGTTGTAAATTGTCTGATAAAAATAAATGGATATTGGCCCTTAAAGAAAAAACTGCAATTTATTCAAACAAACGTAAAGTATATTGGAAAAAAGTTGTCAATGAAAACAGTAAAACTGATGTCAGGAAAGAAGTGTTTCATTCACCAACAAAGTCCTGTCAACTAGATATTTTAGCAACGCGTTTTTTTTAAAAAAACATTTTGAATTGTTTTATCCATTTATGACCAGTTTGATAAATCTGTGCATGAGAGTAGGTTGCTTCCTCACACCTTGTAAACAAGCAATTGTTGTGTCGTTGTTGAAAAAAAAGTGATGCAGATCCAGGTGACTTCAGTAATTATCGACCTATCAGCAATCTGTCATTTATATCAAAACTTATTGAAAGAATTGTGTCGAGACAATTGCTTGCTCATTTGAATGATAATAATCTCATGCCTGCACATCAATCCGGTTTTAGATGATTTCACTCCACTGAAACTGCCCTGCTACATGTTCTCTCAAGGATTTATGCTGAGATGGATGCTCAAAACATTTCCTTGTTGGCATTTTTGGACATGAGCTCGGCTTTCGACAGTGTTAATCATGAAATGTTACTGCTCAGGCTACATCAAAATTTTTGAATATCTGGGGAAATAATAAATTGGTTCAGAAGCTACTTGATTGGCAACAGCAGGTTTCGTTCAACGGGAGTTTGTCCTACGTCAGTGTGGTTCGCTCTGGTGTGCCGCAGGGATCTGTTTTGGGTCCTTTATTACTTCTGCTTTATACATTTGATGTGCTGAAGAAAATTTATTCCTATAATTTTAAAAGCCATGCATATACAGACGACATTCAAATTATGTTATCAGGTAAACTGAAGTTATTTCAAGACGAGATTACGAGATTCATTGAATGTATGGCGGAGGTTAATCTGTGGATGTCGAGAAATGAAATGAAGCTTAACCAGGGTAAAACAAAATTTCTTCCTATTGGTACCTGACAGCAGTTGGCAGACTTGGATATAAATTCAGTTGTTATGAATGATAAAAAAAATAGATTTCTGTAAAGCACTGTTGAATCTAGGTTTTATAATTGATTCAAACCTAACAATGAAATCTCATTTTAAAATGATCTCTATATCATGCTTGGCACAAATTAGAATGAAACAAATTCGAGAATCACTTGATAAAGACGCAATGCAGACTCTGGTGCATGCGTTGGTGCACTCACGTGTCGATTATTGCAATAGTTTATTTTATGGACTCCCGACTATACGCTATATTAAGTTTTCTCTTAATAATAATAATAATAATAATAACAAAGCTGTTTCAGTGGAATGGAACTGACGATATCCAAACTGATATTTTGGCATAAGATTATTATTAGTCAAGTGGTTTAGTAGACACTTCATGACAACATGCTGCATTACTTTTAAGACAAATAACAAATTAGAAATTGGTCTGTAGTTTCATATCTCCCCATCATCACAACCTACTTTTTTCAGAATCGGAATAACTGTGGCATGCTTGAAATAGTCTGGCACTATGCTTTTCCGCAAGCAAAGATTTATGACACTTGTTAGAAAACATATGAAATACTTTATATACTTTTTAAAATGTTTGTTGGCATGATATCAAGTGAACACGTTTTAGACGGAGAATCAAATATAGTCTTCACGAGATCATTCTCAGTGATTTCAGGAAATGATTCAAACCCAGTGGTTCGTAATTGTCTATCTTCTGATAACGAAGTTGAAATACTAGATGACTTAACAGAATGAATAATTTTTTGCAACTTTATCTGTAAAAAAATTTTATAAAATCACAAGCTATATGAATGACATTCGCATCCTATAAGTTCTCACTTCGATTATTGCATAGAATTTTATTAATAATTGGTTACCTGTCCCTTTGGCTGCTACAAGTTTTGATCAAATTGTTCCAATGCCCAGTGCGTTTATCTGAATATAATTTATATTTTCCTTTCAATGAACTAACCCAGCTATCACGGTGCACACTTGACAAAGTTCTTCTGATTAGTCTCTCAAGCTTTCTGCAATATCGTTTGGCCCGTAAGCAATCATTAACAAACCAAGGTACATTGTTATCGAATCTTCTATAAATCACTCGCAGAGGCACACATCGGTCAACAATGTTTTTAATTCATTATTGAACAATTTTAATTCATTTCAACATTTTCACTTTTGCATGGACCAGATATTGGAGAATTTGCAATTGGTTGAATAATCTTATTTTCATTCGCATTTCTCCATGATCTGACTGTCAGTTTGGTTTTAAAACAACATATATGAGCAATTGATGCCTCAACCTTTACAAAACGATGATCCGAGAATATTCCACTTGGAGATACTTCAACTTCTAGAATCGGAAAATTTCTGGAAATAATGACCTGGTCAAGAATACCACCTAGCACATGAGTTGGTTCGTGTACATGATTGATCATTTGAAATGCATCAAGTATTTCATTCAAGCGAATTGTGTGTAAATCATTAACTCTTTCAATATGCACGTTGAAATTCCACATCATCAAAATTTTGGCGTTTAACATCGTAAGATATTCTAAAACGGATACAAGTTCATCAAAAAACAATGAAGAAATCTGCATCGAACCCGGTTTGTAAACAGCAAGTAAAATAAACTGATACCCATTGATTGAAAATCGAATGGCAATAGCTTCAAATGTAGCAAATATTGGTAAGATAAACTTTTTATAACCAAAATCCTTAAGGAAATATACAATCAAGCCACCATGACCTGGATCGTGCTGCCTAACATAATCGACATACCAGAACCCAGGCGCAATAGCCAACCGAACAGAATTATTACCAACCGTACCATGCCAAGCTTCGGTGAGCACCAAGACATCAGCCCATCAAATATCAAACCATGAACATTATTTAATTAGACGCAATTGACTAAACATTCGACAACCCAATCCCCATTTTATTTTGAATTTTACCATCAATACCATTCTTCCACAAAACACAAGAATGATTTTTAACCAACCAAATTAAACCATATATAGAACCACACATACCATTTGCCAATTCAATTATTTCTCCTTTCGAAACCGCACTATTTTCCACCTTCCCACCTTCCCTCTCACCCGATATAAAAAACCTTTTTTGCATCCCTCCTCCGCCACCCTGGCTTTGTTGAGCAACTTTTTAAATACAGCTCTTTGATCGATACTGAGATCATCGTTTATTTTTCTAATGCCGTTGAAAACAAGTGACTGCTTCAATATTATTAAATTTAATCAAAATTGGTCTAATAACGCTAAAATTTTTTTTGCCCAGTCTCCTCAGTTTTAGAACATTTATTTTTTTGCATACCCCTTCAGTCAAATGATCGATTATTTGGCAAATCTTGCTTTGTCATCTAGTCCCTCCTTCAATCTGAATATTATTACATTAGATTCTCTTTCCTTGTTATCCACGTCATCCTGCAACTTTATCTGAACAATTTTTACGTCTTGATTAATTGATTGAACGCTTTTTTCCATTTCGCCACTAACAACACTGGCAAATGATCTATTTAATTTAGACTTTAAGTTGGCGATCTCACCAGAAAGCCTAGAACCAGATGTATCTATCTGCATAAGTTTGTTCTCGTTTTTATCAATAATGGCTCTAATTGCAGCAACCTCAGATATAATTGTTTCAGTCACATCATTCAATTTTTTTATTTCTTTATTCAAATTTGGCTTTTCCTTTGTAGATTGTAGAGTCAAATTTGGATTTTCTTTGGTAAATTTGGTGGTATTTCTATTGACTTTGTCACCCGTAATGCAGTTACCCAAAGTGAACAACGTCAACAATCAATACAATGTTTAAAACAACTTAAAAATTCACTTAAGATTAAATCGTGTTCAACTAAACTAATTGTATAAGCCAATTTTTAAGACAGTAGTTTAGCTCCACAAATTGAGAGAATACAATAAACAGGAGTTGTTAACGACACTGTAATTTAACCTTAAAACGATTTGTAAGTAATTTGTTTAACTTTTATAATTAAATACAAAAATTTTCAAAGCAAATAAATATATTAATAATCATTATTTTTTCTTGAAACTTTTATATAAATTGTAAGTCAAAAACCGCACAAAAAACTATAAAAAATTACAAAAAAAAACAGAGAAAATTCTATCAATCGCGCAGTACAATCGTACAATATTTTATATTTGTATATTTATAATTATATAAATATATATATAAATATATATATAACTAACTGAAATATATATATATATACATATACACATATATATAAATATAAATATAAATATATATATATATATATATATTTGACGGCAAGAAAAAAAAAGAAATTTGATGGCAAGTATTTTTTTCGCTGATTATGTAAGTTCAGTTACGCGTAATTAATATTTTCAACAAAGAAACAATCCTTGCATTCTTCATGGCTTTAATAAGAATAGTCTAATTTTTCGAATCTCACAACTTGAAGATGTTCATATGTATGTATGTATATATATATATATATATATATATATATATGTATATATATATATATATATATATACGCACACTAATTTTATGTATGAGTTAAATAAACTTAATAATCAACTGAAATTCATCGTAAGCAGGATTGAAAAATTAAATAGAAAATTAAGCAACGCTAAAATTGCTGTGATTATTCTAAGCAATTGTGTATATATGCTGGTAGAAGACCAAATTCTTGACAGTATGTATATATATAAGTTACTGTTAGTTTGTTTCCTATGTTAATAAAGAATTAAATATTTTACGAGTCCTCTATATCTCTTTGTGTGAATTTTATATATATATATATATATATATTTTTTTTATTCGGTTATATATATATATATATATATATATATATATATATATATATATATATTTGCATTCGTGTTTATTTATTCATTTTATAATATACAGATTGGTTGGCGATGTATTTTTGCTAACCGGATTCTTATGCTACGTTGGTCCTTTCAACCAAGAATTTCGTTCCAGGATGATAAGTTCTTGGTTTAAATTAATCACACAACGTCATATTTCTCATTCCCAAAATTTAGTTATTACATCATCTCTTGTTGATGGCACAACAGTTGTAGAATGGAATCTTCAAGGCTTACCTAGCGATGAACTATCAACACAAAATGGTATTATTGTTACACAAGCGGGGAAATATCCACTTTTAATTGATCCACAAGGACAAGGAAGAACGTGGATTATGACAAAAGAAAAAAATAGAGATTTGACGGCAAGTATTTTTTTCGCTGATTATGTAAGTTCAGTTACACGTAATTAATATTTTCAACAAAGAAACAATCAAATGGTGGTAAGGGACCTTGCATTCTTCATGGCTTTAATAAGAATAGTCTAATTTTTCGAATTTCACAACTTGAAGATGTCGATATTCTTTTGACCGATTTTTAGCTTTTGGAACTTTTGGCAGATCTACATTAAAATTATCAGTGATATGATAGTTTGTTTGCATTTTTTCAGTTTATTAATAAATATAAGCCAACAAAAACGAGAATGAGTAAAACTTAATAGATGACAAGTTAACATAACGCAAGAAACAGTTACCGGAAATTATCTGAAATACCTTGGAGTTTTAATGCTAGTTATGATGAAAAGTTATGACTATTAAGCACTTTATTTAAATTAGTTGAGTTTGTCATTGTTACATTCTAAAATGAGCAATGTTATTATGTGGATGTTGTTCTTTGTATGTTGTGTTATTATGTAGATAGTTCTGGTTCTCTATCTTGATGTTGCGATGAATACCGTATCAACATAGGAGCAGGGAACTAGCGGATCACTGATGTGATGCTCGCTATCAAACTCGATTATCGTTAAACGAATGTATAGTGGTGACGAATTAAATTGATGACTTACGCAATTTAGTTATTATGTTATTTACGAAGATAAAAAATATTGTCTTTTAGCGAATTAAACACAAACTCACCCATTTTAGTTTTACAGTTCTTTTTCCAAAACAAGGTGATATATACGAATAAAATAAATGCTACGAGTAAAATCTATTTGTATGTCTTGAGTCCTATCTGTTGCGTGAGTTATGTTGTGTCCTTTCCGTCTTGTTCCGTCTCGTCTCTCGAGTAGACTCGTGTGTGTCTTATGTTCTTCTTCCCGTCTCGTCTCGTCTGTCGTGTAGTTCCGTGTGTGTCTTCTGTAGTTTCTCTCCCTGCTTAATGCTGCATCTCCTTATATAGGAGAGGGTGCCTGCGCGTTGGCGTTTTAGTTTCACATGCGTAAATGGTTGCATATGGATCTAATTACCTCGTCTGTAATACTTTGCATACCAGTCGTGATGAATTGCGGTCAAGTGTGTCTTTCTCTTATTTAATATTTCTCTTTGTGGTTTTGTCTGTGTATGTGTCTGTGTGTGTGCTTTTCGCTGCGTCAATATATTCCCTCTGTGGAACAATAAATACGTCAGTCATGTTTTTATGTGTTTTAGTCTTTGTATGTGTGTGTGTTGATTGATTTACATGATAATATCTAATGACCAATCGCTTCGCGATCTTTTCATTCATTATTAAATCAATGCAATGACACAAAGTGGATAGTCCTAAAGCATAATAGCATTTCTGTTTCAAAATGAATTGTTGGTGTAGCAATACAAAAAAACTGTTAAGCTTTATTTTACACATTCGCTTCATTAATTTTAACCAGGTGACAACATTTGGTCATAAGTATTATCGACAACAACTAGAAGATTGTTTATCATTGGGAAAACCTTTGTTAATTGAAGATGTTCAACAAGAGCTTGATTCTACACTAGACAATGTTCTTGATAAAAATTATCTCAAAATGGGTACCGGGTACAAGGTTTGATTTGAAACTATTTGAGTTTTTGTTAAACAAATTTTCAAAATATGGAACCATAACTCAATGCAGCAACAACAAAATGACCAATAAAAATTTGTTTGACCATAATTATTTTGTTATAATTTTTTGTAACAAAGTGTTTCTTCAAAAATTATTCCAACAAAAATAAGCTTTACATTTTATTGGGGAATCGGATTAGACTAATTGATTTGCTTCTGATAAAACTCATAAAACATTATAGCATTAGAGGTCACGTTTTAAATTGGATCCAAAGTTATTTAAATCAAAGCTGGCAATATGTTTTATAATAAGATAATAATAATGGCAATATGTTTTATAATAATAAGAGTCTTTATTAAAAGTAATTCAAAATGGAGGACTGCAAGGGAGCATCCTGAGACTCATTTTTTTTAATATTTATTAATGATATACTAAACTCAACGAGTAGTTCAGAATTTTTTATGTTCTAACGACTCTTCTATGATACCATCAACTAACAATGTTTATAAACTGGAACCAAAGACTAACGAAAGTCAACGTTTCTCAATATAATAAAAATTAATATTAAAAAACAAAGCAATAATGACTGCAATAATGACAACAATAAAGATTGATGCCACTGTTAATGTTACTATTCAGTAACATTAACAGTAGCATCAATCTTCACATTAACAATCTATAAATTGAAAAAAAGGATTGTTTTATTGGGCGATCTTTTAAAAATTATGCAAAATATATTCTATTTAAAATGAACAAAAATATTGTTTAATTAATGTTATTTAAGATACTTTTAATTAAGATTACATTCTTTAGAATTTCATTCATTTTTATTTTTCATGAATAAAAATTATTAAAAAATTAAAAAAAACATAAGAGAAAAAGCGGCAAAACGGTTTAATCAGAAGGTAATCTCAAGCATTGTCTTCATAGTTTTTTTTGGAAAAGGTTTAAAATATTTGATAAAACAAATTTGGAGAAAATGATTATATTTTAAAATGTTAAGAGTTGTTGACAATTTATCATTTCTACCAATTAAATAGTATTAAATGCATTCATTGATGAAAAAGTTGTTTGAAACGTGTAATTTTTAAACGTTTTAGGTTTTGTTGGGAGATAAAGAATGCGATGTTATGAATGGATTTTTTATCTATTTTACAACAAAACTGCCAAACCCTGCTTTCTCTCCAGACGTTAGTTTAGAGTTGCTCAACGTTGTTTAGTTCATGAAATTCATTAAAATTTTTGCCAATTTTAAGATTTTTGCATTAGTCAATGTTATTGATTTTACGGTAACAATGAAAGGGTTGGAAGATCAACTTCTCAACAGAGTTGTGGTCGCGGAACAAAGTGTACGGTTATTTAATTGTTGTAGTATTTTTAATTTTTACATCGTTTTGTTTATTTTAGCAATTGGAAGCTGAAAGAGTAAAATTAATTGAAGATGTCAATATGAATAAGATTAAAATGAAAACCTTGGAAGCCAACTTGTTAGAAAAACTTTCTACAACAGAAGTAACTTTTATTTTGATATAACGGTCTTAAAAACATTCATTTTTTATATTTTTATACTAGAAAAATTAAAAAAATAATTAAGATTTTATACTCTTTTTAATTTTGATCGTAAAAATCTTTCGGTTCTTCATGAGCAAACATATGCAAGTGCATGTTGAAGTATTGGTGCTGCCAAATAAAAATTCGAATGTCAATGTTTTTGTTGTTGATAATTTCCTTCATTCACTCTCTCTCTCTCCCCCCCTCTCTCTTTTTATTTTCCTTTCTTTTTCTCACTTCTTTTTCTTTTTAAATCTTTAAAGAATCAAAAAATACTGAGCCAAATTTTTTAAAATTTTATATGTAAACGTTTTAGGGTACTGAGAAAAACGTAGATATGGTTATAACTGCTCAGACCTCGAATAGGATCGGTTTGGTAGTGAGAGGAAAAATTTGGCTGAAAAGATATGACTGAAAAACTAACTGATTGGTTTGAAGTTTTTTATGTAAACTAACTTTTCCTCTCATTGTTTTATCGTACGCAAGTAATGAGTTCTCCAGAGTTGATATCTGTAAAGTGACTTGTAAGTTTGTTAGCGACCTAAATATAGAAAACTTCCTTGAGTAAGTTATCATTTTCAATGTTTTAAAAACCTGTTGGCAACCAGCAAATGACCGAGTGAGCTATAATGGAAATCGACGCAAAACTTAGCAACAGAGCCGTTAAAAACAGAACAAAAGTACAAACTTCGAACAGATTGAAATTTAAAACTACGCAAACTAAAAATACAGCCACATAGAATTGATATATGTTTGATAATAAGCCTGATTTATCAGTAAATAGTATGTTATGCTAATTATTTCATTGTTTTTGTTTAAGTTAATGAATCAATCAATCCTCGTTTATAGTCTCCATCCGTTATGGGTTGCACTTTTTTATTCTATTCATCAGTTTCTGTCTCCAAGCCAATCTATCCATTGCGTCTGTCTCCTTGAAACTAATTGCCTTCAAGTTCTCCTGTATGGTCTGCGTCTAGGACTTTTTTGGGCGACCTCTTGGGTGAATGCTAGGCATCTGGTGCTCTGTAACGGAAATTATTGCATTGTTTTCGCTTTGCTTCACATGGCCAAACCAGCGTAGGCGATGACGACGACATGCATCCTTCAACGTGCACAGTCCCGATCGGTTCAGGATCTCGGTTGTATGGGTATGGTCCCTTAGGTCAATATGTTGCATCCAATGAATCATCTTCATGTCAGTTCGGTGAAGCGGCTGCTTGAGTTTTGTTGTCATCGGACACGTCTCTGCACCATACATCAGAACAGAACGTATAGCTGTGTTATATAGTTTTGAGCGCAGCGGTAGAGGAATACTACGCCGCATCAATACAATCCAGCATATCTCTCAAATACTGAAATGAAGTAACAGTTTCGATTCCGGTTCTGTTAGTATCATTATCTGGGCTCCGTTGTCGCGGGTTGATGCAGGCGGGGCATACGAAATCAGTCACTTTCCTTAGTGAGCCGGTAATTCTCGAGCATCGTCTGTGACACCACTGCTGACATCTTGGGCATTTGATCCAATTGCTTCCAACTCTATCCCCACACACCGAACATGGTCAATGATCAGAGCACAGGCTCAGCGGTACCATTATTATTATTATTATCATAGTTTTTGTTCTGTCAAGGTTTAACATTAGCCCATGTTTGGCAAGCTGGGTATTCCAGACCTCAAACTTTCTAGCTTTCTGCATATATAAAAAATATGTTATCTGATCGTATCGGTTAGGTTATTTTTTCCATCACCGTGATGAAGAGCAGGGAGCTGAGTATTGATCCCTGCTGGACGCCGACGTTAATATAAAATTCATTCGTGTTACCGGCTGTTGTGCTGACCAGAGTTTTTGTGTTAGAGCATGTTGCCATAACCAGCCGAACCAGATGTTTGGGAACAAGCTGTCTACGTAGATTTTACCTGATTGTCCCACGAAGCACTCTGTCAATAGCCTTCTCTAAGTCCACAAAGACATGGAACAGTTGCTTTTGCTTCGCCATGTATTTTTCCTGTAGTTGACGAATGATATAGGTAGCATTAATGGTAGATCTCCCTGCCATGAAGCTGTACTGTAACTACCTATTGAAACGCACGACAACAGTCTTCTCTCAATGACTTTTCAATAACTTTTATGAGATGTTCCAGAAGACGTATACCCCGATATGAGGAGCATTTCAGTGGATCTCTTTTTCTTTTATATATCGGCACAGTTGTGCTACTGTTCCATTCCACTGGTAGTATCGATTTAATTCACATCTCCCGACAGATGTGTAAGAGGGCTCGGAAGCCTGCCCCACCAGATGCCTTGATGATATCATTTGTAAGTTCAGACGGATCAGCCGCTTTGCCCATCTTTAATGCCTTCAGGGCATCCGTAGGCTTCTCAGCTGTGATGCCCTGAATTGGTCCTTCCACCGGAAGTGCATCAAAATCCACCCCAATCGGGTTTGTTTCATTCAATAACTTATCGAAGTAATCGTTCCAGTGATCTTTCACTTCATTCTGCAAAATTATTATGGTGCCTTTATTATTCTTTATGCATGTGGCACCAACAATATTCTTTTTCAGTCTTTTGGCCTGATTTGCTAATCGGTAGAATGACCGAATTTGTTCGCTTTTGCTTCCAGACAGCCATACCTTGCATTGATGTGCATGAGCTATCGCAACCTGACATTCGCTTTTGTGTTCTTTGATCTGTATGTCTTTCGATCTTCATCAAAATTTAATTTAATGAAACTTTGCTATTTACATTTATTATTTCCAGGGCGTTACAAAGTACGCCTATTAGTGTTATATAATATAATAATAATCGTGACTATCGTTAGTGTTGTTTGCGTTGTTGTTAAACTTGTCGTTTTAATCTTTTGATGGACCTGGTATCGTTTTGGACCCTAAGATATTATTATGGTTTTTGAAATATTTAGTGAATACATCATGTTTGAGGATGAGTTAACGAAGCATTTTGTTGCATTCCCAATAAAAATGACATTTAACATATTTTTGGTTGAACATTTTCTCAAAATGTTTAACTTGTTTTTTGATGTGAAATTATTTTAAATGCTTCAAAGTAGTAATAAATTTGTTTTTCGAATTAAAATTCGCAACTATGACAACAATTTTTTTTAGTTGTAATTCAATCATCTAACTTTTTGTTGTGTTCCATAAAGACTTGACATTTTTAAACTTGCCTTAGTTTGAACGGCAACATATTTCAAAATTATAAACACCGTAATAACATTAGCTCGGCAATAAACGCTAAGAGGAAGTTCTATTTCTTCATTCCAAAAAAAATTATAATGATAGCCGGGTGTAAAACCGAGTGTATTCTTTTTTTACTTCATCTTCAAGATGGCTGTGTTTTTTAATTTTTAAAACATTTGCTTGTTGTAGTTTGTTGAAAAAATATCTTTAAATAAACTAAATTTACTGTAAAATTTTTGAGGGCTCTCTTCTAGATGATGAATCAGTCCTCATCGTTTTGAACACAACAAAAGCTACAGCCGCGGATGTAAGTGAACAGCTGGCAATTGCTGATGAAACAGAATTAAAAATAAACAAAGCTAGAGAAGAATATAGACCAGGTTTGAATTTTAAAATAATTTTAATTTCATTTCTATATTTTTGAAAATTTGTAACAACTTCTAGTTGCAACACGTGGAAGTATACTCTATTTTTTGCTATGTGAAATGAGCCTTGTAAACTGCATGTACCAGACTTCTTTAAAACAGTTTCTTCACCTCTTTGATTTGTCGCTTGAAAAGTATTCTATTTTTTATTATTTTTTTGAATTTAAATTGAAAATTTTGTTTACTTTTACTAAGGTAAATTTAAAAAAAAATAAAAGGACAAAAATTTAAGGAAAATTGTATAAATTTAAATGTTAAAAAAATCATATATAAATTTCATTAACTAAATTTTTGGCATTTCATACATTATTAGTTTCATTTAATAGTTAGGGTATGTATTCAAATAAACGATTAAACTTTTTTTTATATCGAAATATAACTGTACTATAATTATTTCAAATAATGGTATAATGATCTAATGGTATATCTAATCATTTGATATTTATAAATCTAAAATATAATTTTAATAAATTTCAACATTTATATCAGTAATATTATTTTAATATTTAGTTGAACTTAAAAATAATTGTTCTTAGCTCGGAAAAGACCCATATTGTAGGAAAGCGATTAACCAATATCATAGATCATTTAACGTTTGAAGTTTTTAAATTCACATGTCGTGGCTTGTACGAAGAACATAAATTTTTATTATCTCTTTTTCTTGCGCTGAAAAAAGACCTACAGGCAAATAGTATTCAACAGATGGAATTCAACACTTTAATTAAAGGTTTGTATATCTACTTCTTTTTTAATTGAATTTGATAAAATTGTATTTCATTTACGAAATGACAAAAATCAGTACGATATTTTATCCGTACTTTTCCGAATTCTTTCGAAATATTTGAAACACGTTTAACGACAAAGCATTTTTATCTAATTTTTGATGATTTCTGGGTACCAATGCAAATCGAGAAAACTATCGGTTTATTCATAATGTGTAAGATCCTATTGATTCTTCAACACTAATGCTTTCACGGGCATGTTCCAAACTTTGGATGTTGCTATATTTTCTCTATCTGAGAAGTTGGCTAGATATTGGAGAAGAGGGAGTGCTAGTTAACTATTAATATTAGAAGTTGTAACAAACAAAAATATTTTAACCTCATTATTTCAAAAAGTGATAACTTAGATAAATATAACATCAAAGTTAGTCAAAATTAGTTATTGGTGATCAGGGGTTTTATTTGCATTATTGTGAAATTTTCACTCCATTATTGATTTAATGAGTTATTTTATCAACTTAATATGAACTTGTAATTTAAAGGGACGATGTTTTAAAAAGGCTTCAAAATTCCAAATTCTTGAAAACTATGTTTATTTATTAATTAACCAATTAATATATTTTTCTTTTTGAAAATATTTGTTATTCAAATTAGTTTTGGTCAAATTTGACTAAACTGAAATATGTGAATTATTATTGAAACAAGGTGGTGCATCATTAGACATGAACTCAGTGCCTCATAAGCCTTTTAAATGGATTACTGACACTATTTGGCTCAATATTATACAAGTCTCCAAACTGCACGGGTTTTTCGAAGTTCCTAATCAAGTATTTTTTTATTAAATTATAGATTTTGAAATTGAATACATTGGAATTGAATACATTTAAATTATATATTAATTAATATTAAATTATATATATATTCATATATATATACAATTATTTATAAATATCACTGCGTTTTCGGCATTATTCAATTTGTAGTTGAGTTTCTCAATTTTTTTAACGAAACTTTTATCATCTTGATGAAGTTTATTAAGGTTAAATAAAAAACGTTTAATATTTGACATTTTTGACAAAACATTATTAATAACGTTATTACTACAGAAAAGCTCTTTTCGGCATCAACTGCCATCATTAGTGTAGTTATATAGTATTGTTCCGTCTTTGTGTCTTTGTTTTTACAGCGACTTTGATTGTAACTTAATTAGAATTAAAGTTAATCATGTGTTTCTTTGTTAGAAGAATATTGGTATTATTTAGTTGAATATTTATTGCTGGTTTACGTTTATTGATGAAAATTGATTCTGTTATCAAAAATTTGAAATATTCTCTTGTAATAAATTGCTTTGGTGTTATTGTCTAAAATTTCTCTTGTTATAACAGTGTTATGTTGTTCCATTAGGTGGTCTTTTATTGCTCCATGTTGCTTATGCATAGTGAGTCTTCTCGTTAATGTTGTTGTAGTCATTCCGATGTATTTAGAATTTTGATGCTCGCACCCACCAATTTTACATGTGAATGAATAAATCAAATGATAACTTTTCTTGTCCGAGGAAGGTTTAATGTCAGAATTGGTTTTTATTATTAAAGATGATGTTTTCCTGTTCGTGTAGTAAATTCTTAATTTTTTTGAGCTGTTTGTATCTATGACTTTAACATTGTTATTTATTATCTTTTTCATTATTTTTTTCAGAATTATTCAGAATTGGTTTTTATTATTAAAGATGATGTTTTCCTGTTCGTGTTGTAAATTCTTAATTTTTTTGAGCTGTTTGTATCTATGACTTTAACATTGTTATTTATTATTTTTTTCATTATTTTTTCATCTGTTTTATATGACGAGGACATACTATTTTTATAATAAATTATGATGTTTTTTATATTGTTGTTATTGTCGTTTGTATTTTCATTGTTAAGTTGTTGTTCTTTGCGGTGAATTATTTTCTTTATTTGTGATAGTTTGTATCCATTATTAATTAGGAGATTGGTTACTCGTTGGAGTTCTTTTTCTCTATCTTCTGTTTTTGATGAGTGAGTATACGCCCTGTTAACGAAGGCACTGATCGTACTGGTTAGGAATGTTTCAGTGCACCCACTAATCCCATTGAGACAGAGTGCTTTGTTCGTTGGTTTTGTGTAGACCGTAGTTGTGAATTTATTTATTTCATTCTTTTTAAGCACGTCTAGGAATGGTAATTTATTATCAGTTGATTTTTCTATAGTAAATTTCAATTTATGTTGTTTGTTGTAATCGATTTAAAACGACACGTCATTGGTACGTTTATTGATATAAAAAAAGCATTTGACTCTTTCGATCATGAGTTGTTGTTAACGAAAATGTCGCATGATGGAATTAAAAGACCTTTGTTAAAATGGTGTCAAAGTTACTTTGCAAATCGATCTCAATATGTTGTTATAGGTAAACATCATTCTTCCTTGTTGCCTATTGTCTCTGGAGTGCCTCAGGGTTCTGTACTTGACCATGTTTTTTTAAATATATTTATCAATGATTTAGATCGACTAAGGCTGTTGAATATATTATATATGCGAATGAGATGACACTATCATTTTGGCGGCAGGCGATTCCATAGAGGAAGTTGAATGTATTCTTATCTAAATACACTTACATATATATATATATATATATATGAGCATCTGGCCACATACACAACGTATCAATTCGAACATTGAAGATGGTATAGGAATACCGAAAAAGCTTTTTTGTTCTATCATGCATAAAATAAACAAAAATTTTGGTTTTGAACTCAAGAAACTTAAGAATGATCAATCGAAAAGTTAAACAGAAAGTTAACTAATAAACTAACGCCGAATATGCTGTGATGATATATATATATGTATATATATATATATATATATATATAAATTATTATTATTATTATTATTAGATTATTTATGTATAAAGTGTCCTTTATTATTCTCAAAGGCGTTAACAATGCAAAAGTTGATTAAATGTTTCACTTCAATCAAATCATATCATGAAAAGTTTGTCTGAAAAGATGGTTCTTTAGTTTTCTTCGAAATTCAGTAATTGACAAACCACGATTTTGCAAGTCAACTGGCAAACTATTCCAAATCTTCGGTCTTATAGGAGTGAAATCTCTGCAACCCACAGCAAGCTGAGTTTGACGAATTGTTAACAAATCTAAATCGTTTGACCGTAACTTCTGGCACTGTACGGTGCATTTTTTGGAACAATTCTATCCATTAAATATTTTGGCGCTAATCCATTAATGCTTTTTTACACCAGTAGGGCAATTTTAAAAATAATTCTTTGTTGAACGGGCAACCAATGAAGATTGAAGAGAATAGGAGTAACATGATCAAAATATGAACCACCAGTTAACAACTTGGCAGCCCGATTTTGATTTAATTGTAACTGTGCAACATACTTTTTGGGTAAACCGTAGGATAAACTGTTGCAATAATCGATCCTCGAGTGAATGAACGAGTGAATTAAACATTGCAATGTATGCATATTTAGAGATCCTTTGATGAGTCTCAATTTTCTCAATTGGTAAGTACGTTTTTTAAACAACAACTTTATGTGCGATTGCATTGTCATGTTTGTGTCAAAAACAAATCCAAGAAATCCAAAATTCGATGACAGACTCTGATAGTGTTGATACCCACTCTATTCACTTGTTGCCATGTACCCACAGGCAAAAACTGGGTCTTGCATTGGTTTAACTTTAATCTGTGCCCCATCATCCAAACATCAATGGCTGATAAACACGATACTAAATTATCGACCACATCACCAAACGACGAGGGAGAGAAGTTGGCTATTATTTGGATGTCGTCAGCAAATGCATGAAACCTGAAATTGTACGACTCAATTATTGTGTAAACATCTGCTGTATAAAGCAAAAAGAGAATGGTACACCGTATGACAAAGCATCGACAGCTGCCAAATTTGTATATATATATATATTAATATATATATTATTATTTGTAATTTTTTAATATATATATTATTATTTGCATTAATTATGCTGGTAAAAGACCATAATTAATGCGTAAATTTCATAAATTACTGCATATATATTTATATATAAATTTATAGGTTAAATATATATATATATGTATATATGTTAATTGAATTAATCTCTATGACTACTTATTAAAATAACAAATTAATAAAAAATTAAAAGAAATTATGTGTTACATATTATCATATTACGCATTTATTAGAATTAAATTAATGATTTAAGCTAAATTTAAGCATTTTTTCATATATTCTAATATGTCTTAGATACAAAGAAATGAAAAGCAGTGGAAAGAATGGTTTGATAAAAGCGCACCAGAAGAAGAAATATTTCCAGATAATTACCACAACGTTCTCAGTACTTTCCAAAAATTGCTCTTCATAAGGTAACTTCAATTTTTATTATTTTGCAAATGCTACTTGGTTCCTAAATTTTTAAACTGTGATGTAAAAAATTGGGGACATCATAAATGGAATCGTGTTTAATATCATTTTTCAACTGTTTAATTTTTACATTTGTTTTACTAATTAACTCAGTCGGTACAATTGCCATGTCTCACGCTGTTATTACGCGATGCCCTGTTTCGATGTCTGTCCGAAACTCAAAAAAAATCATTTGTCGTGCTTGTGCTTGTATACATAATGTGGCAAGCCTTTGCGGCACGAATGTTTTATTATAAGAATATAATGGCATGTAATCAGTTCTCCTTTGACAGCTGCATAACTAAGAATAAAAACTATGTGGTTTTAATGTGACCGTTGTCATTTGCGTTGTTTGATTGTATTTAATTCGTGTTTATGCATTTTAGCAATGTGTTGTTTGTGTGATTGCGTTTTTTTTTACTTCAGTTGAAAATTTTGCTCATTGTTTACAGCATTTAAATTTTTGTGGCAGTTAAAAGCATTGAATCTCAAAATGCTTTTTTCATTATTTGAATTGTATTTTGATAAAAGCTGGTCATTAAACCTAAACTTTTATTTTTGAATTCTCTAATTTTTAAGTTCTAGATAATTTCGTTGCCGATTTGAACATATTTTAACAAACTTATGTTTTCGTGTGCTTAAATTTTTTTACTGCCAGATCCTTATGCCCAGATAGAACTATTGCCCAAGCAAGAAAATACATAGCAGAATCTATGGGTTCCCGTTATATTGATAGTGTTATATTAGATTTAAAAGAAATGTGGGAAGAAAGTAATCCCAAATGCCCCTTAATTTGTTTGCTTTCAATGGGATCTGATCCGACTAGTCAAATTGAAGATTTAGCTAAAAAATCTGGCATTGGTTTGTTTTTAAAAATTTTAAGTTTTTAAATATTTCTAGTAGTATGTTTTGTACGACAAAATGTCTTGTCGACATATGAAAAACAATATTTTCTGGATACAAAATCAAAAGAGGTAAAAATTTTGCAAGATTGACATAAATTATATAAAAATAGAGTTTAGCAGTTAAAATTTCAGTGGTTGATAAGCTACAGCCATCCCGCAGGTCAGCAAAGTGTGCTTTCCTGGCTCGCTAAGTGTAATCATCTTCAACACTCTGCTGTGCTGATGTATGAAAT